GCCCCATGCAACTCCGCAAAGTTGTAGTCATTGGAAAGGGGAAGCATGCCCGTGTGCACAGACACTCCACACGCTTCTAGAATGAATTTCTTGGCCACATATATATATATATATACTTGTATTACAGTGTGTATATATATATATATATATATTTATACAGTATTCATGCTTCTATGAGACAGGGCCAGGATTATTTTGGCTGTATCGATCTTCCGAGATGAATCAGGCCTGCCCATAGATGCTTGTATTTCACGAGATGTGTTGTGTCATTTTGAGGTGCTTGCAGTGTTTACTGGCAGAATAGCGAGGCCAATCAAGGATAAGACTTTGCGGTTGCTCAAGCCAGTCAAAGCTTAGTTGAAGCTTAGTGTGGGACAGTGCCATAAATATAGGTTTCCTTCGGGCCGAAGTCCAGACTGCCCAGGCTGCGTGGGGTGTGGTTTCTCCATCGCTGCCAGACCTGCGGAAGGAGGCAGTGGCTGCAGTTGATACCGGTGAAGGTTTTGTTGCCCCTCATTTGCAAGTTGTGGATGGAGCATCCCCTGCCAACCGCCTTGTGTTGTTCCTTCAACATGGTCTCAAGTGATGGTAGGGGTACCACAAGGACGTTATACACATTTTGCTAGCCGCGTCTTTCTTCAGTTTCTTGACTTTGCGAGTCATACGGAGCTGAGGGTACGGTGACCTCACCCACGAAGGTTCTTAGTTGCCCTTATCTCCGGTGGGTCAACTCAATTGAAACAATTGGGTTTTGCAAAGTCACAGAATGCTCACACTTGGGTTCCCACAACAGTTCATACGCCTATAGTTCATACGTTTTGCAAACCAAAGATTGCTCCAACTAGTTCATCCGCCGCGAATCCGGCAGCGAATGTACTTCCGAAAAGCGCGTCCAAGCGAACGCAAGAAGCGGTTTCCCGGCAGGTGGCCCTGATCCTGGACCCCAGCGCGGGCCGGCGACCTGGCCCCACCGGAGGGGTCTGGCATTCTGTGGATGGTGGCGAAATCCCGTTCGCACCACACGGAAACCATGGTTGAAACCAGAACGTTCGTTGTTACTTTGGTTCGGGAATCGAATCAATCCAGGATTTCTTAGGTGGCGCAGGATTTCGAGCTCCACAGTATGATGCCTGAAATAGAACTTTTTCGGGACGCCCGACAATTGGTAGTCTCAGAACTAGTGCGTCCAAGCACATGTCGCGAGGCCTGCAGCCAGAGCCAGATAGTCGAATAGTTTCCAACTTCCAACCATGTGGAAAACTATGACCAAAGGAGGCGTACCGTTGCGAGAAGGATCCAGCAAGACTACTGGAAGACTCAAGCCGTAACCAAGTATACTCTGGGAAAAAAAAAGCAAACAAATACGACACCCCGCTGGAAAAGCTGTATTTCTTCGAACTGCCAAGGTTTTTGCTGAGCCATGGCTACGCTCCTACAAATTTGTACCGACTGTCAGTGGATTTGTTGCTTCGCACCCAGGCCCGGAGTCACCTGAGACGCAGGTGGAGTCTTAGGGCTGGCTGCACGAGTGACCAAGACTCTTCGAGCCAAGCAGCACAGCGTCGTTTGCTCAGTCAGGTGTTCTGCAAAAAGATGCTGGAGCTGAAACCACAAATTGTCATTTGTAGCTCACTCCTGTTGCCATCGGCGACAAGATCGCTTTTGCTGCGGCGGTTTCTTATGCAGCGGAACCGGCCGGCACGTACCTTTGTTACAGACTGCGCCGGAAAACGAGCGGCGCTTCATGCTCGATGTTCAAAGCAAAAGACGCCATCTAGGGGTCTGGCGAATCACTTGGCAGACTTCAGCAAGCTGTGAGTTTCGCACGAGACAATCCTTGACTGAATGTAGTTCTCGCCGAGTCTGGTGTCAGAATGTGTTTGGGCATTGCAGCCGGAAGGATCATCTTCAACAAAAGTGTTGAAATGCCAGCGCCAGGCAGGAGTCACCTCGCTCGACTTGCCCAAGCTTTGGTTCTCGGTTCGCTCTTAGCCCTAGGGTGATCATAAACGGCTTGGTGTTTGGGAATGAATCCAGCCACCGACCTTTGGCAGGGGCATAGCCCACTTGCCCAGCGGTCAGTGAATAGTGTAAGAGGGCAATCAGCGCGTGTTTGAAGCTGGGGCATAGCCTTCAAGCACTGGATGACGCAGCAGTCCTTTTGCGTATGACAGCACATTTAGCGGGAGGCATGTGGATTACATTGTGTGAAACATGCCAACTTACTTGGACAGTTGACAAGCCCAGAGAGTTCTTTACTCAGCTGAGATTCATTTGCAGAAGGTGCTCCAAATGCCAGGTGTGGGGTCGTGTGCGTTTGTCAGGCTAAGCTGCTCAAGGCAAATGAGAGCGGCAACGGAAATTCACCACGCTTCGTCGTGTGGAGCCGGAGAGGGATCGCTTGTGACAGAAAGTGGAGCCTCTTAAAATAAACAGGTCCTTTGCAGGAACTCGGTGGGCGACAAAGCTCGAATAAAGTAAAAGGGTTGTTTGTTTTTTTGTGGTTTCTGGACAGGCCTGGCGTGTTGTTTGTCCTTAACACACAGGGACAATGGCGGGCTATCTTTGGTGCACTGACGGACTGTTTGTCAAATTTGCATACCGTGGACAACTTCTAGTCACACGACCTAACAATCCGGCTGGCATAGGCTTTTTCACTGGGAGTGGCAGCCTGTAGATGGAGAGTGTTGCAACAAGTTTCATTTCTACGAGTAGTTTGCGCTCTGCATCCCCCTATGCCATACCAGGATGTCGAACCCCAGTATATGTTCCAAGCGCTTCTACCATGATAGAATGCTGTCCTTCACCGGACTTCAACAAGTGTTCAGGCTCCTGATGATTCCAACAGTCCAAGGGGGTCTCAGTGCTCCCTGGGTCGAGTTTCAGACTTTCCCAGGTGATATTTCTTTGCCCATGTGTGGAACCTTCTGCTAATTTGAGAGGAGTACACGTCATAGATTGTTTTGCTGGATTGTGAGCCAAAGGGCGCCCTTGCAACCATGGGCCTGCCGCTCCCCAGAGTGCCACAGGCACATGCCACGGTCAAACACCCACTTGGTTCCAGCAAGGATGGCCAACCAGTTGGTAGGGACTTTAGACAAACCTCTTGGCTTGGTGTTGAGAGAGCCATTGCCACATCGGGAGTTTGACCCCAAGACCTGTAAGACTTAGGGGGCAGGCGCGTCATTGGGCGCAGCGCGGCGAGGCGTGCCCTGCAAACTTTTGGGTCGACTGCCAAGGAGTTTGAATGTTTGCCAGCTCATTGATCCCCTCTGGCTGACCCTTGGGCTGCAGATGGCTTTGGAGTATAAGTCTCTACGGAAACTCTTGATGTGGTTGAACATGATTACCTCACTTCTTGAGCTCCTGGACTTTCAGCTTTTTGGGAAGAACAATTTAGTGGTAAACTAAAAAATATATGAGTTGTTTTGCCAATCAACTCAGGAAGGGAGTGGTACCCTTGGGGATTTTTTTTTTATGGAACAGTGAGATACAGAGGCAGCCTGCTTTGTCACCAACTAAGCTTGACAAACGGGTGAAGCTTAGGCGAGCCTGAAGGTTGGCAGTTTGCATGCCTCACGTCGCCTGGCCTGCTCGATGGTCACCTACCATTGAGGAAGCAAGCCATGTGCAGTGCAAATGGGGCCAAGGAGCCAAACATAGCTGAAATCTGCAAGCGAACACTCAGAAGTTGCACAAGCTTAAGTGGAAAGTAAGTCCTTTCGCTGGCCGATTGCCTGCCGCTTTCTTCCTTCGATTGCACAGTGTGACACCTAGGCTTCCTCCAGACATGTTTCTGCAGGGGCCTGCCTGGGATGCCTAAGTGCATGGCCCAGACTTTCGACGGGTTCGGCTCCGCTTGGCGGAGGCAACGCCCGTCGCAGATTTCCGTCAATGAATCCAATCCAGTCCTTGGCCAGCAAGAGCTGGGATTCCATCGCAAGTTGGACATGTCACAGGAGCTTTGGCATGGCTTTTGCTGAGCTGACGGGCTGGGACCTGCGTTCTGACAAAACTCGGGGTTTCGCAGCCAGAAGGCCTGCAGTCGGATTCGGCCTGCTTTCCTATTGCGTTTCAGGAGAACTCGAGTGCAAGCAGGTTTTGTCGGAGCGTATGACGGCACTTTGGGCGCGCAGGCCCACTTGCGCCGATACGGAGGCCCCACATGAGCAGGGACCCCCCGCTGGGATTGGCGAACTCGCCGTTCTGCGATGGCTCCATCAGGGCCATGTGTTGACCTATCTTATGGTCTTAAGACTGTTAGCGGGGATCTCGATCTCAATTTTGCTTAGGATCGGTCTGTACCAAGGACTTTGAGATATGATTGCATATTGTTGAAGTGGATTTGGGCCACTTGCTGATGCTTTCACTGATAATTACAGAGCTAGGAAGTTAAATTGGAGTCAGGAGGATGTACGCTAAAGCTTTTCCTCGGTGCAAGAATCTTTGGACCCACATGTACACGGGATGCAGCCAACAGACTAAAATTTGCCACAAGCACCAGGGGACTTGCCACGTCCACGGCAAACCGCAGAATCTGAGTATGGGTCAATATTAAACCACCAGGGGACCGCAGGTTTTAGTTCATGTTTCCATGTTTCATTTTGGGATTCATTTTGACCCGCAGCCATTTTGACCATGGAAAACCACATCCATTTTTCCCTCAGTCCCAGAGGCGCGTCCCTGACCCGGGCTCTGACTCCCTTCGGCCTAGAAATCGGGGCATGCAGCCTAGAAAATGGGCGGTCGGGTGGAAGGGCGGTCGGGCCTGAACATGTTGGAGGGGCGAAGAACAAATCGTGGAACGAATTTGCGGAGATGTTTGGCGATGTTTCAACCGGCGGGGAGGTGTCAGCTTTGAAGTGCAGCTTGTTGGAGGCTTGTATGCCGCAGGCATCAAACCGGCCCTCAGGGAGCTTCCGCTTATGCCCATGTTTAGCTTGGGGGCAGGACTCAGGGCAAGTTGAGGGCGATTGCTGCTGTAGCTGTGTGTCTTACGACCAGGATTTGGTTCAAGCACCGCGGCTCACGATGCGGCTGCTGATCCTGCTGCCGCTGGCATTGTGCAACAATGACGAAGGTTGGGGAGCTGGTGGCGATGCGGCCTACCAGATGATGAGCCAGGGCCAGGGAGATGGCGGCTGGGGCGAGAGCAACGGCTACTCCGACCAGAGTGCCTTCCGCGACAGCGGAGATGGCTCTGGCGATGGAGAGCGAGACCGCTGGGGCGGTGGCGGTGATGGAGACGGCTGGGGCGGTGGCGGTGATGGAGATGGCTGGGGCGGTGGTGGTGATGGAGACGGCTGGCATGGTGGTAGTGGTGATGGAGACGGCTGGGGCGGTGGCGGGGGTGATGGAGACGGCTGGGGCGGTGGTGGCGGTGGTGACGGAGACGGCTGGGGCGTTGGCGGTGGTGATGGAGACGGCTGGGGCAGTGGAGATGGCAGTGGAGATGGCAGTGGAGACGGTCAAGGTTGGGCGCAGCAGCGTAGCTACGGCCAGGCTCAAGGTGGTTGGGGCGGTGACGGTGGCTATGGTGACGGCAGCGGTGTCCAGGGTGGGTCGCAAAGCCAGGGAGACGGGGGCGACGGGGGCAGCTCCGGCAGCTCAGGTTCAGGCAGCAGTGGGGCAAAGAGTGGCGGTGACGGCAGTGAAGATGGCAGTGATGGGAAGGACGGGGATCCCGCTTTTGTCTAACGCAGACACGACCCCAGAAGATTGTCTTTTGGCCGCTTGCACGCGTCGATTGTTGCTCTGCAACCAGACCAAAGTTGGGATACAGAATGTTCAACAAGCTGATATGCGCCATCAATCAAGGAGGCTTCTGCGGGTTTAAAGTGGGCTGGCTCCTTTGTGGTAGATTGCTTCTTCTGGAAGGACTAACAACCTGCCCGGGCCATGCATCTTGTCTGCTGTGCGGACTGCGGTGAAACCTTCAAGTTTTGAGCTAGATGTTGCTGACGATGCCAAATTTGTCATGATGACTCTGACCAGAATCCGAAGCATCACAAGTAAAACAGCGTGATCAGTGCCAGTTGGTTGCACCCGCTCACCCGTGCAATCTCAAAGCAGCCAATCCGACCTGCCTCATTTTTGGAGGAACCCGACATGAGCTTCAACTTCAATGTCAACGGCGCCTCGGGCTCTGGCAAAGCCGCACCGGCTCCGCCAAAGAAGCAGGCGCGGTTGGCTTGCCGGTACAACTGCCACAGCAATTCATGCAAGAGTGCGTGCAATTTATGTTCGTTGTGCAAACCCACCCATTTCGGTGCTGTTAGACACACCGTCCAAGAGAAACGCCCCAAGCCGCCATTGAAAGGACGTGGAACTCCGAGCAAACACATTTTCCACGTGCCACGGCCAGAGTAACTTGACAATAGAACCCCCCCCCAACAAAGAAAAAACACCCTAAGAAAGGAACACAAGCATGGTCTTACCCAACCTGAAACGGGAATCAACCAAAAAGACTCCCGATTGAGCCGCCGCCGCCGCAGACCTTTGGAGTGGTGCCGCCGCCTCCGGCCACCACCACGGTGGCGCCGGACGCCACCACCAAAGCCCTGCACGGGGAGACCACGCACACCGTCGAGGGCAGCATGTCCTTGTGCCCTGGCAATGAATTACATCGTTCTGTGTGCGTGTGCTTTTGTGTGTGCATTTGTGTGCTTGTGTTCTTGTGTTTTTGTGTGCTTGTGTGTTTGTTGTTGTTTTGTCCCCTCCGAAAGAAGTCGTGTGCAGGTTTTGAGGGTACATAGGGCGTTTCATGCAAGGAAGGTGAGGCCAGGTTGCTACGGAGTCACAGAATGAGCTGGCAGTGGGAATGCATTTTGATTGCCATGTCGCAGAATATGCGTTGGCAATTGGTTTACATGGAGCATAAGAGCAAACCTGGAGGCGGCTTCTTTGGACCAAGTGAGCCATGTTTTCATCGATTGCAATGCAAGCAGGTTTCCTGCGAAAGAGACAAACCAAAGCATTGTGATCGATTTGCCAGCGCCACGCTATGTTTTCAGGCGCTCGCTCTGGGCTGTGTGAACACGTGATGCCTTTCTGGCAATGTCGTCGTTTGGCCCCTGCTCAAAATTGAAGGTTGTACTATGCTTCAGGCGCTTGGAAGGCATATTAGCTTACAATGGTTTCTTCAGTCCGGGCAGAGGGCCGATCGTCCGGACCGCTCTGCTTCTGCATGTTTCGTGATGTTGGTCCTGGTTTGGCTGAGGTATGAGACCCTTGAGAAGCTTCAAGGCCGCGCCGGGTTCGTCAGAAACCGCAGGAACGGCGATTCTGGGCGTATCAGAGCTTGTTCAACCATTCGTCAAGCTGGTTGCTGTGATGGGACACGGAGGAAGAATTCAAAAGTCAGGAGAAATGCTGCAGCAGCGTGGCAAAAGTCTGAGTTTTCTATCCTACAGCCCATTGCAACCCATTTGGGTGGTTGTCAAGAATATGGGCCCTTTGGGGAAGTTGGTATTTTCTTGCGACACGAGATGGCCCCCATTTTACGGGATCAGAACGAGGCAGCGTTGCAGAAACCCATGCGAAATGAGATGACACAAGATCAAAATGCTTGGCAGGGACTCAACATCAGAAACATGGATAGGAGCCAGTGACACTGGATGATGTATATGGCGTGCTGAGCAACAAGCTGATGTTGAGAAATATGTTTGGTGGAGTGCACCAGCCCACCCAAAAGCCAGCAGCTGCACCCATTGAGCCCTCGAGCTGTTCTCCAATGAGATGCTGCATGTCCCTGTTGAGGGCCAGATTCTAGTTTGTTGGCTTCTCCGTGGCATTGCTTTCTTGACTGGATTGGCCCTTTAGGTTCGGCTTCTGCGGTTGGCTCATGTGCCGCCGATTGAGGTCTCCGCTGGTTTGATGTGGATCGTTCGCTTTGCGTCTTGCATTCCATGGCTGGCGTGACTTGACCACGTGGACGGTTGCCGTCTTTCTCAAAGATTGCGTTGTCTATGTGTTGGGAGTCTTACTTTCGCACCTGGATGCAAACTACAGACTCCAGACTGCTTTTTGCAAGGTTCTTGTGAGTGGCAACTGAGCCTCACTGCCAAGTCTAGTGCTGCTGACATGCGCCGGGCAAATTTTTCGGCATGTCCTCTCAGGGAAGGCGCAGCAGCAGAACCTGAAAGAGACCTTGTGGAAGGAGCGGGCGTTGCTTTTGGGGTGTGGACATTTGGAGCCGCGAGTCACCAGAGAGCCGCGTGTTGGAGCTAGGAGCGTTGTGGACCAGCCCCCCTTTCCTTTCGCCCGGCCCTGGCGATCGGCCCATGCCAAGAACGTTTCATCGTGTTCAGGCGACCTCATTGGTAACTTTTGAGAGTGCTGCTGCCTTGTGAGGGTCCTTCCGAATGACCAGTTTTGCCCCGGGGTTCCCGCGTAGGATCCGGAGATCCCCGACTACGACAACTGCCAGCCGAGGTTCCGGGTGCGGAAAGACGCCCCGGAGCTGGCCACCACCCTCAACGGTGTGGAGCTCCCGCCCCTCTTGGTGAAAATTAATCCATCACAAAACCGCAGGTTCGAGTCCTTGCTTCCATTTACCAGGGTGTCATTTTGGGTACCTATTTTTGACCCACACCCAGATCCAGTTTAGGGAAACGGTCCCAGCGCGTCAATGGGTGCCGCCCTTTCGTTCTTTTATATTGGTTTGGGTAGACCACGTTACCAGGTGTTGATTGTGACTCGCGATGGCCGAGCGGCCAGTCAGGCCGAAAGGGCCAGATTGTGTTCCGTTGTGGCTTGGGATCGCTTCTTTTGGCAGTCACAGATCTGAAGTTTATAGAGTCGAGATTGCGGCTGCTCATCTCATTTTCAAAAGGTGCAAAGGCCTGGCCTCTTAAATGAGAATGGAGGCCGTCGGGTTCTTGGTTACTGAAGTGGTTTGCACGAGCCTAGTGAGCAAGAATTCTGTTCGGCTAGTCTAACTGCTTGGCACTGGTATTCTAGCAGCTTTTCCGGAGCAGCTGGCCGAGGCAGGCTTGCTTCATGGATGAGACCAAGGGCAACCACCACGTGTTCGTCATCGGCGACTGGGGAGGGGTTGCCTGATTCACTAGGGCTGGCCTTGTTTTTTCCCAAGTGGCACCATTTCGACTATCTAGCCGTTGTCAACACAATACTAAGCTGCCCTGCGGGCCATGGTTCTTGATAACCTCATCAGCCATCTCGATGCATTCAAACCCCGGCCCCAAGCCATTTCTGTCCTTGAAGCACTTGAATTTGCCAAGCACGGACACCGACGCTGGGGGAGCTATCACCACTCCCATGAAGGATTGGGACCCCAAGCCCTGCCCAAGGAGTGCCCAAGGAGTGACCAGACCATGGGCATTTAGACAAGCACAAAACGAGTCCCAAACACTCCATGCAAGGTGCCTTCTACTCAAATTGCCCCGGGATGGCCCAACTGCCTTGGATTCTCGGATTCTAAGTCGCTGTGGGCCGCCCAGGTCATTGACTGGTACGACCCTGTGAAGGGCTATGTCAATCCGCCACGCACAGCCGACCACACGAAGTCCCTGTTCGCCTCGCACCACAGAAAGAAGGCGACGGACGCCCAGAAAAAATGCAGCTAACGCCCAGAAATCTCCTCGCTCAGTCAGATTCTTACATGCAGCACGTCCCTGGATGGTGTGGGGTGTGGGGGGGATTCCTTCGAACAGGCACAAGGCCATCATCAGCAGACATACTCTTCACAGACGTACATGGGTTGCGGCAAGCACGGACTTCAGAATTATGTCCTGTTCTCAGGATGCGTTCTTTCCAAGCACGTCATGTTGTGAGCGTGGCTCTGAATTGTTCGCTTCTGCTAGCCCACCTTGTGGTTCGCTGTCTGTGACCGGCTGCATTGTTGGGCTATGTGCTGGATTGATGTTCTGCCCGATCAGTCCGATCTTTGCTTTCAGGACTTAGCTTCCCAGCACAAAGTGTGTGTTTGCCGTTTAGACGCACTTTGTGCAGAGCTCGACTCGGCTTCTGCACTCTGTGCAGTGGAATCTTCAACCTTGACCGGGGAAATGACATGACATGTTTTGTTTTTCCCGAAAAAGACTATACACCCGTTTTTCCATATTGAGACCCTGCTTGTTTGCTACGAGGAGTGCCCAATTCAAGCCTTTTTCTGGAATTCTTGACAGGCAAAGCATGGCGGCACAAATTCTGAACAGGGCCTCAAATTCCTGCACATATAGGTGCTTATGTGTGTGTGTGCGCCAAAACTAGGCCACCATTTTGGGTCCAAGCCATCGCCAAGTTGGGGCCAGAGTTGCGGACATGGGGTCATATTGTTGGCAGTCCACAGTATGAGACACAGGCAGCTCTGGCTAAGGAACTTGCAAGACGCTGTCAACTTGAGAAGCTGGTTGTCTCTACGTAGGAGCTTTGTCTTAAGCAAACGAGATCAGATGAGTCAAGTGCAAATAGAAGCGTGAACCAGAATTGTGTTGTCACTTGCGCCCAATCAAGACTTGGGGTTTCACTGACTCGTGAGTGCATACATATTGTTTGATCAATTGGAGTTGCTGTGTCTCGTTGAGTCAAACAGAGTTCTTGTTGGTAGTCTGCCAGCCGACTCGGCTTACTCTTAGTCTGAGTGGTTTGCACTTGTGTTGACAATATTTGCTGCTACCTTTCTTGAAAGCTGTCCGTGAATGCGGCTTACAGGCGGCCTACAGGGGCATAGAAGGACGATGAGCCCCAAAATCCTGCCACTGGGGTGATATGGGTTGCGTGGACACAGGTGCTCAATGGGGGAAGTGATTGGGGTGTAACGTCACTGTGTTCTTTTGCAGTTTTGCAGTCTCTACATGGGCGGGGTAGTTATTCAACGCGCCTTGGACCCAGAAAGTCGGAGGCCTCTTATTGGCTGAATATATGACTTGCCCGTCAACCCTATTGAAGCGGAGAATGGTCCGACTTTCTGAGTCCGAGTTTGGTCCCTTTGAATTTAGAGTCTTCCGGGTCGATGTTGATGTCTTTTCGCCTTCAGAATCATCGCGCATTGTGTTCAGACTCAAGATGGCTTTTCACTCGGAGATTGTGTTGTGGTGAATGTCATTCAACCTTTGAACCCTGTTCCCTGAACGCTTCAACAAGAGCAGGGATTTTGCTGGATCGTTTCTCGTTTGAGTAGGGCAGTGTCAGGTGAATTCCTCAGATGACTATGCCCAGTTCAACGTGAGCAAGTGGATGAGCTTCGTCGCCGAGGCACCCTGGTGGTGGCCGTTTAGGATGTTCAACTGTAACATCAGACTACGCCACACGTGTTGCATGCACCCAGTCCCGCAAAGCGAAAGGTCTAATCAGCACAGTTGAAGTTCTTCCAGACACTTGTCCAAGCTGGTCTCTTGGAAAGCAAATCGGACGGACGCAGTTCCGGAATAGCAGGGCTTCACAACAGTCATGATTTCCAATGGTAGAGCTAGTCCGAGGTCTTAGGCTTGTTTGTGTTCTTGCCGTTTCCCATTGGATACACATGGAGGCCGTTCTAAATTGCATGTATTAAAATCATGAATTAAGAGGCTGGTCCTGAAGGGTCTACCGCAAAAGGAAAGCCCTGCATTGCGAAAGGCCGGCGAAAATAACGCAAAAGGGCTTGCAAAGATACGACGAATACGTGATGTTTGTTCGGCTTTCTTGATGTCAAGCTTTTCTGACAACGATTGTCTGCGAAATCCGGGCTTCACCGACCAATCCGCGAAAGTAACACGAAAGGAACGCGTAGGGGCACGCTCCCAAAGTGGGGCCTAGCTCTTCGACCAGAACGAAAGTGCTGCTTCCAGCAGTTCACCGTCAAGTGGCCAAACTGCTGCCCAACAAGCAGAATAGAAAACAGTAGAAAGCCAATTGCTCGAAAAAGAGCTTTTCAACACTGATTTGACCTCGGACAAGGAAGACTGAAGGCCGCAAAAGGCCGGCAAAAGGCCGGCAAAAGGGAAGTTTCCAGGCACCTCTATTTAGAACAACTCTCACATGGAGGTGTATATTTCTGAATGGCATTGTGGGCATGTTCTGGCCTTTCGAAGCTTCGCACACGGCACCGGAAGCGCGAATGCTTCCAGCCAAGTTGGGGAGTTATCGGTTGCCTTGAGGTTGATACAACTTAGCAGTTAACAGTGCTACACTCACTAGCTTTGCTAAAGTGAGTAGGTGGAAGCAAGGGCTTCAGCTCGAGCCAGCCTCTCGTGAGTCTGACAGCTTCGCCTTGATTGTCGGCATCATTGGCCTGCTGGGTTCGTTGCCTCTTTGGGAAAAGGGTAAGATCATGAGGGACTCGCTGCAGTACCAGGTATGTATGCCCCTGAAATGCGTACCTTTGCACCACATGCAGTGAGGACGGGAGCCGTTTGTGAGCCTGAGATGTCCGATTTCCGTTGCCAGAAGTCGGATCCCGACTTCATCATCAACCTGGGGGACAACTTCTACTGGGGCGGTGTGGGGGTGCAGTGTGGAGCGCCCACGCACCAAGCGCAGGATCCAGGCTACCAGCACCTCCACAGAATTGTTGGGATGTCGGAACGCAAAAGCATACAACTGGTTCATGGTTTTGTCCTGGCTAAACTCATCACCACGGCTCTTCCGAAGTTTGACCCACTTGGTGGATTTGGGTCGGAATTAAGAATGGCTCCATGATAGTGAGTTCGCAACACCCCAATGCATTTGTCTCAGGTGGGGGCCATGATTGGGCATCCAAGTGACAGCTGAGCGATCTGGTTGATGCGAGATTTTGTATCGAGATCGAGGGCACATTGCCACATCAGGGTGCGCCGGCACAAGGCTTCCCTTTCATGGGAGCATGTTAAGATGTGATACCGAATGTGCCTGGGCAACCGGGATCTGGATCCAGTTTGCCTCTTTGGTTTTTCGGCCATGGCCCCTCTTGAGGCCTGTGTATTAAGCAAACCACATGTGTCATGCTCACTGACCTTACCTGCCATTGGAATCTACGAGTTGCGATCTGCACTTTAAGTTCACTGCGGGGGGGCTGTGTTGACCTGTACCAGTCATGGACATTGCTTTTTGGGAGTTGCACAAAGACGTCTGATGCATTTCGAGTGCGAATGCTGGCCAACTTCCACACACCTAGCAGCATCTAAGCCCACCTTACTTTGCCGTTTGCTGTATTGATATTGCATGCTCCTGCTCTAGCCAGATTGTGAAGTCAAGCCAGCCAGAATCAGAGAATAGACTGTGCGCCATTATAACAGCAATCCTTTTGCATTCCACACTCGCAGAGAAGCACGTGCTGTCCTAAGGTGGAGCAACATCTACGAAATCATGTACAAGGGTAGCAACATCGATGGCAAGCAGTGGCTGGGCACTCTTGGGAACCACGACTACGGTGGATTCCTTTTCACCTCCGGCTGGGACCAAGTTATCGCCTATACCTGGTCCAAACTACATTTCAGTACAGGACGCTGGATGCAGCCTTCCTTGTACTATGCCACACCAGTCAAGTTCCCTGACACTTGGATGTGATTTGGCATAACCTGTCATGTTTGTGTTGAGCTCGGCTAGCCTTTTGTGGCTGGCCCTCACACAACACAATGGGACAAGTAACAGCCAACACACATACCCTTGTGCCGCCCAAGGACTTTACCATGGACATTTTCTTTGTTGACAGCAACATTTGGGATGCCTTCGACTACCATGCCACCAGCAGCCACAACATTTGCGGGGGCCTGCACAACTATCCCGCCGCGACCTGCGGTCTGACGGGACCCGTCTCTGTAGAGCAGCCTCTCGACTGAGAATCTCTCTGGTGGCTGGGGCAAGCCGTTCCAGCGAATTGCCCTCAGTGCATCAAGACATTCCACGTGGCAGGCAATGGTAGGATATTCAAATTACTGATGCCCCCCCCTTGTGCATCCTGTGTACAACCAGCGCAAAAGATGAGAACTGTCCAAATATGGTCCAAGCTTCTTGCATGTGCTGCCAATGTTTGATCTCTGCAGTCTACGTGCGCCAGTTCGAGAACAGGTTGTTACGCCTTGATAGGTCAGCCCTTACTGCGTCGTGTTGTCGATCCTCATTTTTCATTATTTAGTCGAGAAAAGAAGGGACATGGGACGTGATTGTTTTGGTTGTTTTCCGAGCACGTTTAGCTAGCCCCTTGCCTGCATGAATGGGGGAGACTGCCCCAATGCAGTCAGGGCATGTTATTTTTTTGGTGAGCAATGTTCCGGGATTGATGTGGCCAAACCAGCATGTTAGTCTTCCAACAATTTATGCAGCAGACTTGCTATGACTGAGAGTGCCAGTTGGCTACTATAAAGCCGGCATGGAGCAAGCGGATTGTGAACAGCGTGTTCAGAATTGGAGCAACGCACAGAAATTCATTCCATTGATCTAGGCGGGGCGGCTTCCAGGCATTGGCAGGGCAATGTTCATGAATGCTAAGCTGTACGCGCGAGACGAAACTTGCCGAAGCGTTTCCGAGGTGCGCGCAGTGGTTCAAGGACCTGTGGGATGCGGAGATCAGGTGGTTGGAGCAGGGCCTGGGCCCCTCGCAGCACACTTCGATGGATCCATGGTAAATGCGTCGCTTAACTGGGCAGGACGAATCCTTCCTGGGACTTGTTAAGGGCAGACCTTAGATCGCCAGCCCAAAGTCGTTTGACCAAGCGACCCCCATCCTGGGTTTGACTCAATTCTACGGGAACCAATAAGCCTGCTTCGTTGAAATCCCTTGGTGCAGGATGGGTATGGTGCGGCAATCTTGTCTGACTATTCGCGTACATGTGTGCACGAATAAGTCCTGCATTCCCGGTCCGGGAAGTTTCAGGCAGTGGTTGGCCCATCTCCGACCGTCGGCTGACGGTTGGTACTTTGTCATTCACTCCGGGCCCTGATTTGCACCAGTAGCTTCCCTGTGCGCGGAAGGGTCTGGCCCATTTGCTCTTGCTGGGAACGAAGCAAAGGATCTCCTAAAATCCACAAGTGGGGAGCCGAGGCAAGTCCAAGGCCGACTGGCAAGTCATCGCCACTCACTTCCCGGCTTCTCGGCAAGGGATGGTAAGCGTCGCAAATTCTTTACAGAGATGGTGGGCAGACCCTTCACCAGGTTTCGCTCACCTCATGACATCTCGGATTCACTGCTTACATTCAAAGTTGCTACCCACTCAAAATGCGGCCAATTCTGGGCAGGGGTTTGGGGGCAGGATCCAGAGGCATCTCACTTCAGGCACGGTTTTGATAGCGCAGTCTCCGGTAACGACAGGCTTCCCTAAGGCCTTGCTGGGAAGGGGTCCTTCGGCAGGGCATTCCAAGAGTTAGGTGATTGTATCACTTTCAAGAAGGCATCCACAGTTGAATGGCCGGGTGCGAAATCTGAGGCAGAGCATGGCTTGGACGAGTGGAAGCGCCTGTCCACCACCTACGGTGTGGACCTGCTTCTCACGGCACATCGCCACATGCAGGAGGCTGGGAAGCCACCGAGGTTGGGTTGTGGGAGGGTTTGTTTGTTTCGGGTTTTTATCGGTTTCCTGAAAACGCCAGGCCAAGCTTGCTTTCGGTGGCAGGAACTTCAACTTGGGGACTCCACATGAAAACATGGTGCTGGTATTGCTCAGGGAGGTTGCTGTTGAAGGGCCCATTTTGCTATGACAGGCCGTGCGTGTAACACAGATGTTTGAACTGGCACAGTCTAGCTCCACACGTCTTTCGGGAGCCGACACAAAATGGATTTGAGAGTTGAGGGACGGGCCTCATAGGTGGCGCAAGCTTGAGCAATACTCAGTTAATTAAGTTGCTGCTTCTGTAAACATCAGAAAGCAATAACCCAACATCACCAAAAGGGTTTCAACGCTCACAAATTGAGACACTTGCTAAGCATGAAGACCAGTCCAACTTCTGGGCGATGGCCATCCACGACACAGCCGTCAGTTGACCTGGCATTGAAATCGGCCTCTTACCACTTGCCTCCTTAGGAGGGGTCAAAGACCAGAAGACCCTTTACTTGCCCTAAGGCCCAAATTGATTCATAGATATGGGGGTTGATCAATATTCCTGGCCCCCAAATGTCCATGGCCAACTTTTCTCATTTAAAGGTTGACATCTCAAATCTTAGTGGTGTCCCAACCAATGGTCATCCCATATGTATCTGGGACCTGTGGATCAACCCCCAACCGCCTGCACGGGCTTCGCCCATGGCTCAGGTCCACGTGGACGACGAGGCGAATCTCATCAAGCCCACGGCCTGGATTGTGAGCGGCGGCGGGGGCGGCATCACCAGCGAGGCGGAGCCCACGGAGGATGGCCAGGACGACCAGCGCCACACCACAAGCGTCGGTTGGGGGGGGAAGGGGGGGGGAGGGGGAGGGGGAGGTTCTTTGCATAAAACGCCCAAAACACCAAACCAGCCCCTGTTTCCCTGTTCCCAAATGCTTGGGTTCTGCTTTGCAGGGGGATGGATGGTCAGGCCGGAGATGAGCAGGAAACGGGAAGGGAACACAACGAGACGGGCTGCATGCCAGGAATGGTTGGGAAGCCGCAATGATCCCGCAGGTGCAAGAAGAGGTGTGGAACAAAAACCGGGAACTCTAGAAACGGGCCCAAGAGGTTCCCGAACTATGTGCGTAAATGAGGTGATGGGGTCCTTGCTTGGGGTCCAGTTGCTTCAGCTTGGGGGAGGCGTTGAAATTTATTTGGGTTACTTTTTGTGCGTGTGAGCATACATGATACACGTTAACTACTGCCCACATTCACTTTCGCGGACTTGTTTACGCGTTTGCTAACCTTTTTCCTGCTAACATAGATATGCGTATGGTCATGTTTGTGCGCTTTGGATTGTATGTCTTAGTCTACAACTCGCGTGATTCTTTGGGGGAAGGTCGCGTGCCGAGGTATGGCTTCATAGATCTGACCCTCTCGAAGCATGAGATCCGCATCGAGGCCATCTCTCATGGGGGGCAGGTCCGAAGCACCAAGTGCTTCACCCAGAGCCGCGGCAGCAAGATTGAGGAAACGGAGACAACAAAAAAGAGGCTTTTGGTTTCTGGTTAAAGCAAGGCAAAACATACTGTGGATGGACGACATCCTGCACCACTTTGAAACCATGGGAGACCATTGTTTGTTGATATTGAGGGCATTATCCTTGCAGCCCATTAAAGCGGTTGGCTGGGGAAGAGGGTATCAATTTCATTGGATGTTCAGAGGAGAATCGGGTGACGTAGGGTTGGTAGGATGACGTTCAAGCATTGCAAGCAAGCTAACCAAAGATGTGAAATTACAAAGGGCATCGACTCATCATCCGAGATGAGGTTCCGTGTTCAGTGGATGGCATTCCCACACACACACACAACTGCCGCCAGCATTCCAAAGAAGCTGTACGCATGGTTGCGGCACGTGTTGGTCACTCAGAACAGGCTGTTCACCCTCAAGGAGTGCAATTTTTGCGAGTCCTGATTGTTGCTGTCGGCAGAAGTGAACTGTGATATGAAGCTGTTTCGCTACTTGTTGGTTGTTTGATTGCTGTCAGGACTCAGGACGGCCACTCACCTGAGCTGGCATTGCAACGGCAGGCATGAACAAACGAAGAACTTGCGTAGTGCCGCAGCACAATGGCGCATGTTGGGCACATCACGAACTTAGGCGATTTCCCGGCGATGAGCACACCCAGAAGATTGCAGGCCTGCCTGAGCTAACGTGCCGATGTGCCAGTCAGAGAGGGCAACCCTAAACTCTTCTCCAACTTGCTGAGAGGCTTGAGGACCGAGCACGAGCAGCGCTTGATTTAAACATGGCGTTTCGAAGCTGCACTTGTCTGCGACAAGCAGATGATCTCTTAGACTTTGGCAGTGAATGCACGTGACTACCCCTGCGCCCTCCCTCACTCGGAATGTTTCTGGGTCGCTTAGGCTCCAACACCAAGACGATGGAGCAAGACATTGCGTGGGCTATTGTTCCCTGCGCATGTCTTTAGGAACGCGGGCCGCAAGGGTAGCTACCTCTCAAGCCGCAGCTTGACAGCTTGGTCCTCTTAATTGAACGCGGGTCGCAAAGGTAAGGCGTGCAGAACGAGTTCACGCATGACGTTTGGCCAATGTTGGCTACCAAACGGATATCCCACTCTCGCTTGGGAAGCTTGGCCAAAGTTGGCCCGGCACGGCCCCTTTCCGGGACTTCACTCAACAAGCGGCAATCGATGCAATTGCTGAACTAGATACAGCAGCATAGCATGAAATCCTGAACCTACAAAGAACAACTTTGAGATCAGTTGAGCCATACTTCATAGACCCCCTCAAACGCTTCACCATGAATCACCCACCCGCCAGGCAAATCCCTCTGTGATGGCCATCCGGTGGGTGTGCAGCTTCTGCCCAAGGAGCCGGCGCCCACAGTGGCGCCGATCCATTGGTAAGATTTGTTAGGTCGGAAGATGTGAGAGCCAAAATCACTAAAAACGTTTACCCATTATATAGGGATCAGAGTAGCAGTTCATGTCAGATCTCTCAGATAAGCATGCCGGTTGGAGGATATGTTTGACACATGTGGCCATTGAACTGTTGGGGCGCCCATGCTGACATTGGTCGGTGCTCAAAGACTTGCCGAACGCACAAGGTTTGGTCGGCCGTTGTGTTTTCCGCCCCTGACCTGGGGATTGGGATGGCGAGTGCCTTGGCAGGGCTGGACGGACCAGCTCAGGCAGTTACGTCATTTTCAGGCTGTGCTCCTTTGAAGAGGGAGCATCGCACATCTTTTCGGGCTCGTTTTCGCCTTGGCAATGACCGCCAGGGGAGTAGAGTTAAATCTTCCCCGGGCGCGTGCCGCCTCCAATGTGAGTCGCACGCTTGTGAGTGCCAGTGTGCTTGGCACGGATTTGCCCGCTGGCGTTCGGTTTCACCCAAATCGGGAGCGCTCCCCAGAAAAGCGGCCGACACGTTGAAGCTCGGCTTGCCGATGGTGAAGCCCGCTCGACAACCAAAGTCATCCCTCTCCCCAATTAATATTATTAATATTATATAAAGGGCCCCCCAATAGAAGGAACGCATTTTACAGAGAAAACAATTTTCTTATTAGGGAGCCCGAGTTCTGGTCTGTCCTTGTCGGTCCTCTTCTGCGCCCGTCCAAACGAGGTCTCACCCAAAATCGTTCATTCAACACGGCAATTTACCCCGAGTAAGGAACATAGAAAGCAGAGTGAATTGGTGTATTGGGTTGGTACAGTAGTGGTTTTGTGTTGGTTCTGAAAGGCCCCCTGATACGACTCCAGTTGGGGACGGTAAGGTAAATCACTGTTTGGTATTGGTTTCAATTTCGCTGTTCTAAATTTAGTATTCCCGGCCTGGATTTGTTTGGGGATGTTTGGAAAAGTATTATTAGGGGACCTTTATTATTTCGAAGAAGGGAAGAAAGCTATGGGTCGGTTTCGCTACATTGTTCCAGACGCAAAGTTTCTTCCAAGGAATAGAAACTGTGTTCACGACATAGAAACACTGTCTTGCTGTCACGAGTAAATTCCCTCATGTGTGTCTGTGCAAGCTGTAGCTGCGAGATGACTCCCGACAATGATAGCCGCTACGGTGGATGGACGACATCCTGCAACATTTTGAAACCAACGGAAACCATTATTCGTTGATATTTACAGGGAATCATCATACCAGGGTTTCTTAGGTGGTGCGAAATGGATTTCGCAACCATCCACAGTTTGGTGCGGCACAGTGTGAGAACAGAGAAGCCTCCAGCTCAGGTTGCCGACATTTTTTGCCTGCTGACTGTTGTTTTCTCGATACTTTTGGACAAGTCCCCAGAAGTGATGGAAGGGGGTGATGCTGATGCAATCGAGATCTTTTCTGCTGCTTCTTGCTTGTTTTTTCTTGTGCTTGCGCTCTCTCCTCTTGAAAGATGCCCGCAGAACTGGGGTAGGGACCTTCGGTTTGCCTCCATTTGTTCATGCTCGTGTCCCCAGCCAGGGATGCCTGTAGGTGTTTTTGCAAGTTCGACTGTCATTTGTTGGAAAGGTCCAGGCAAGCTGGATAGGGGTGCTACTGTGCAATCAAGCTCTTTCCTGCTGATGTTTTTTTGAATGTTTGTTTCCGTTCTTTCCTTTTGAACAGTCCCCGCAGGACTCATGTAGGGGCATTTGGTTTGTCTCCGTTTGTTCATGTTGTCCCTAGCTGGACTGGGGCTGCCTGTAGGTTTTCTGTTTTTTCAATCAAGATGCATGTTTCGTGTCCAACGCGGGCGGACTTGGACTTGTGGCAACTAGCCAGCGTGCATGAAAGCGCAGACTTGCATTGCCCAAGCAGGTAATGCAAAATCATTCATGGCACAGCGTGGAGAATATGGCGACGTCAGCCAATTCACGCCAGGCCTTTTCTTCCACACGCTTGAGGCATACAGCCCATTGCTTGGGTGCAAGCGTTTTGACTTAAATACTAACAAACTTGCCATTCTGAGCCCAGCTGAAAAATGCCGAAGACCGAGCGACCGGACGAGCTGGGAATTGGTTCGTTGGGTTCTCGTCAGTTCTCCCCCGACGGGGTGCCATGGCTTGAGCCATGCGCCGCAGCTCGATCGCCATCTTCGCCCTGAGCGCTGGCGTCGCCTTTGTGAACTTTCGGGCGGCGCCGCGGGCCAATGGAGTGCCTGCCAGGCTTGCGAGATGGAAGCGAGACCACCACGAGTTAAGAACGAAAGGTGGACCAAAAGTGGAGAAGCATGGGAAAAGGGAGGGGGCGCACCTTGATGGCCTCTGAAGGCTTGCGGGGAGAAACCAGCCCTTCGCAAGCCCTTGGCTTTGCAACCCCTGGGACAGCAAATTGCTCTCTCCCCACAGGCGAGCGGAACCAAAAGAACCAAGACAACCGGATTGAGTGGAACCCCAGGTTTCATCAGACCCCTGGTTGATCAATGGGGGGGTAGGGACTTGGCTTGGTTTGGCTTTTCAGGGCGCTCCCGGAGTCCGGGTGGCAGCGCCTGAACAAGCGAGCCTCATGGGACTTCCTCCTGGGCTCTTCGCCCTTCTCCTACGAGGAAAATGTGTCGGTTGTCCATGGGAGTTTTGATTGATTCGATTATGGATCCGTTTTTTCCCCCCTTTTTGTTCTTCTTCGCAGGGCTGTTTTTGTTCTTCTTATTTTTTTACGGCTGGGTTGGTTGGTTGGTTGGTTGGTTGGTTGGTTGGTTGGTTGGTTGGTTCGTTTGTTCGTTCGTTCGTTCATCCCCTGCACCACCAGCCTCACTTGGCCGGAGGGTTGCCTATTGGCTCTGATTGGGAGGCAACCCTCGGGCCAAGTGAGCCTGGTGATGCTGGGGATGTTTTCAGCCCTGCGGAAAACCAGCCCGAGGAAAAAAACCAGCCCACACCTTTGCCGTTCGGTTATCCATAAAAGGTGTAAGAAAAGGTTTGTTTTGGTTGTCCATCCTGATTTGGAGAGTATTCGGAATCGGTTGCTTGTTGCGGCAGAAAAAGGCATTAACACCAAGATTGCTTTCCACCAACCAGTCTGATGATTCTGCTTCTGAAGCATTTTAATCACTTCCCGCTAAGAATAAATCACCCGCCCTTGAGAAACAAGTCAAAAAGCATTTCACATCAGGGCACCTTAGGGTACCAGGACGGTTCCGCTACGGTCGTGTACAAGGGGTCCCTCTTTCCGGGCCCAAAATTGGCCAACAATGCCAACACAGCAATTTCCGAGTAAGAAACTTGAGCCGCATAAATCTGCACATGTCTCATTTTTCTGTTTCGAATTGTGTCCCTTATTTCGACTGGAGTTGGGTTTAGAATTGATTTAGTAGTGGCAAATTCCAATTTAATTTAGTACTGCGAGATTTGCTGTCGTGCAAAGGTCGGATGTATCAATAGGGTGCATTTGGCAATAGGAGGAAGGATTGCCCAAAAAACACACTTGAGGGGGTCACAGTGATGACAATAATGGCATTCCTACCCGCCATGTTGAAACATTTTGAGCCACATTGATGAAGTGCATCTCGAGCTGACACCATTGGCAGGACCTGGTAGACAATGTGCGGCAGGAGGAGTACATGAAAAACCTGCTCTGGGTGGATGATGCGTTTAATTCTAGCCTTGGCACCGCCAGCGACTTGGCTTGAAGGCTGCAGGTGTTCGCCTGTGATTTTCATGTGACGGGACGTGTGATATCTTGGCAACCAGCCAGAATCTGGGACTAGACAGCTGTCGCTGAGAGGTCTTGGCGATTTGCTACCAAGCTCTGCCACTGATTTGCATGATTGTTTTGAATTGGGCTCTTTTGTGACTTCGGGGTTGGCGTTCTGCCAGTTGAGTCTAGTTGTGTTTGTTTCTTTCTTTTCTTCTTTTTTTAACGCATGTTCAACCAATGACACAGGCATGCTTCCTGGCTGAACAGTATCATCATTAGAGACTCTACAGGGTCGGTTCTGGAGGGGCCTAAAGGGCTCCCTAGTAATTCTCTGGTCTCTTGCACACAACTTCAACGTTCTTCAACCGCTCAGGCGATTATCCTCCAGCTTTCGTGTCCTACCTGGCCCGATTGCTGCTGGCAAGAGATGAGCGCTGCGCCAAGTGGTGGGCCGGAGCGCTTTCCGCGGCTCGGCTTTCTCCAGTCGCATGGCACAGAGAGCCAACCTCGAACTTGATTCGCTGGAGGTTTGGGGCAGGGCCCAGCAACTAATATCCGCAGATGCTTGCTCTTGTGACTCCAAACGTTTGGGTGTTGCTTCTTTGGCACCTTGTTATGACTCTGTGACCGCTCCTTTGCGCCCACCAAGTCACCCTGAACAAGCCCTGGAGCTTTCCCTGTGCCAAGCCAAATTCACCCGCAACCAGCACTCATCCAAGGCCACTCTCTCAAAGAGAAGCCATTTGAACCGACCCTGAATCACACCACTGAGGAGATGTTGCGGAGGGCGTGTTTCATGCTGCGAGCAATATCCCGAGCAATCAGGCAATCTTCAACCACCCCCCCAAAAGCACCAGAGGCAGAGAGCCACAGTTTGCGCACCTGCAAGGCAAACACGGACTCTCGGGAGCAGCTCTTTGCGCGCTTTCAGGTCGGCCAGCAGACTGTTGCTGCCCATGCATTGACATGTTCGAAACGAAGCTGTCGGCTTATTCGGCTGAGTCATCCCAACCAAGGGACTCAGAAAAGGTCCAGCTACTTTCGTCGGAATCAGATACCAGCAGCACCTAGAAGTCCAGGCGCTGTGAAGCTGGAAGTTTGCCACTGACTGCCCGGGTGCCAGCCACATTTAAGGTCTCTTTGTTGGGAATGTTATGTTGTGCTCTGAATGAGCTTGTTGTTTGATGAATGTTATCCGGTAAAAGATGATTCTTTATGCTCTGCAATCACAAGCACTGGGCTGGCGCATCAGAAGTATGTTGACTGCGCCGGGTCCGACTGTCTAGACATCCTCAAAGCCGAGACTTTGGCGGTTGGCTGGGACTTCTCTGCCCTGCCAAGCTGTAAGCTATGATCCTCAGCAAACCCTGAAAGGCCATACGCACTGCGACCAATCCATCGACTGACCGTAAATGCCAACAGATACTGAAGGACAAACTCCTAAACCAGACATGATACCCTGTTGATGCCCCACCCAAGTACCAACTGCAAGGCTTCACCGGTAGTCCGCTCGTGTGTATTAGCCCCCAACATGTGCTCACATGGCTCTTCAGGCTTTGCATGCACAACGCAGGGTGGATAGATGTTCAACGTTTCAGAATTTGTCATTACTGGGCTTCTACACAGCCGGATCAACCACCATATGTGATAGTTGCCTTTTTGGAACTGACCTCAAGCCATGCTGAATCCGTGCCATCCTGGACCCAATCCGTCCCGTCCCGTGAGCCAAACGACCACTCGACAGGCATCAGTGCAGGAGACCCTCCGAGAGAATTGGCGCGGCAGGGCGGGGGCTTTGGCTGCAGCCTGGCTGCACCACAAGCTATAGGTGCCCGGCGTGGTCAAATGCGAGTGGTAGAACCACCTAAATGTTCACAAGAGTCTGATGCAGATTTCCCATCCAGAGCTGGTGCTTTTGCCCCCATGTGTTTGCGCATCCAAGACCGCTCTCATCAAGCGCTTCGGCGGGCGGTTCCCCTTTGATGCAGAGCAGCAGATAAGGCGCGGGGCTCAAGTAGCTCGTGTTCTCCTTAGAGTTCCTCCATTTGTTTCCTGTGGCATTTGGGTGCATTCCTCCGAAGCCCTTGCCTACATCTCTGGTAAAAGGCTCATGAGGCTGAAGGAGGCAAGCTCATGCCCTGCCGGGTGCTGTGCTTCATGAACCATCAAGACAGCTATGGGCGTTTGCCTGTTGTTTCACCAGATTTGCCAGTCGATGCCCTTTCCTGGACGCCCCCTGAAAATGGGTGGTTTCCTTGTGGTCTCCCTTTGGAACGGCCCCAAGTCAGCAAGGGTACCCTCAAACCACAAACACCCAGAGTGTCTTAGCCGATTCTCACATCTGAACTCTGCCTTTCAAATCAAGCCCTCCGCGCTCCGGCGAGGTTGTGCTTCGGGCTCCTGCCAGAGGACAGGGCACGAAGCTTCCACAGTCGAGCCAGATTTGGCTAGGCAACTGTGGCATAGTACCCTCCCACCCAGCTCCGAGCTGGAATTCCTCTTTCTAGGTGCACCTTGTCAGGCCGGTGAGAGGGCAAGAAGCAGTTTGCCTCAAGCGACACAAGACTGATCTGAATGTTCCTCCAATACTTCTGTACCCAGTGGTGCGGGATATCTGATTCCGCCCGCAGTGCTCAATAACCAGTGACACTGTGCTTATCAAGCTCAACTCTGTGTGTGTGTGTGTGTGCGTGCGTGCGCGCTTGTTTTCATGACTGGACGTGACCATATTTGCAAGTTTTCCGGTTGTGCAGATGCAATTACCTTGACAAGAGTTACTGCATGATTTGCCGCAGCTTGCAGGAAACGCTTAGAGGCTCCTTCCTCAACCAGAATTTCACCACCGATAGAGATGAAGTGCCACTTGGAATGACTCTGAGTGATGTGTGGGATGATACCCCTCCTCAGGTGGAAGCACAAGGCTTGAAGCTCAACCTTGGAACGGACTTGCCTAGGATGGAAGTGTTCCTTGCTATCGACACCGACGGCAACGGCATGTTGTCAAGGCCGCCGGGCGGAGACCAACATGCATGAATCAATATGAATCAGGTCTGCCGCCAGAGTATGAACTCTTTACGAGCTCTTGGGCTGCAGCATCATTGGCTTGACCCCTCTCTCCCAACAGGTCACGTAAGACAAGATCCAGTCTCTTCAGGATGCGTCTGCGCTCTCCATGCATCCGTGTCTCGCATGAAATTCATGCCATGAATGTGCCTTTGTGCTGTCGAGGTACCCCGCCGCAGCTCTTATTCTTGTCATCGTCTTGTTCTGTTTTCGATTGCAAGCTGTCAAACTTGAGTGCCCTGACATGCCGCCAACATGACGTCCCAAAAAACCCATGAAAGAAGCCGCGGATGAGTTGCAGTCGCCAGGGAAGAGATCACGGAAGCCTTCGAGCTGGGACCTTGGCGGGGCCCCTCTAGCGACTGAAACCAAGACGAAAGCGACCGGTCTTCAACTTGGTTTGTCTGGAACTCGCGCTGGTTGACCGAAGGAAGAATGAGTTTGCAATATGGTGTCACCTTGTACAACCGGATGTTAAACTACAGTAGACCTTACGCAACCATCGTAGTTGACCACATGTGACCATGGTTTACCATGTTGATATATTGTTTGCACGATTTTTTTAGAACAGCAGGGCATGAAATATGTTCAAATCTCATTGCCGAACACCAGTATTCGGTTCGCCTCTGGCATTCGCTCGAGTTTCGGGTGAGAGCTTGCACTCTGTGCCTAGTTCCCTGGGGGACGGGTGGCTGTCCACCCCCGAAGTGGAGCAGATGTTGGAGGAGGCCCTGGCCAACAGCAACGGCGAGGCCCAGGGGGGGGGGGTAGAGGGGTTGCCGAGCTGGCAATTTGTGAATGTGTTTGGAAACCCGAGCTGGCCTCTTTATCCCTTTCAGGACTTTGAACGTTGCTTTTTTTTGGGATCATATTTTGAAAGAGTCATCTTGACAATAAGCAACTCTCCCATACTAGAGTGGAGTGGCTGTGGCTATGGCTATGGCTATGGCTATGGCTGTGTGTGTGTGTGTGTCGCCCTGTTTGAATGATGTAAACTGACCGTGCGCAAACTGCGCGTGGACTGTATGTATGAGCTGTTTGCTTCTGATCCGCTTTGCTTCTGATGTTGGCAATGGCGAAGTTGCCAATTCTACATGAGCCAGCCAGGCAGACAGGCAGACAGCCTAAGGATTTGAGGTGAATGATTCAATTGGCTTGCCTGGACATGTTTAGGATGATGTGCGGTGTAACTTGGCGTTCCCAGCCATCCCCTTAGCTTTTTTGACTTTTTAGGTTAAGTGGGGCTTTCCATTTAGCCCACTAAAAATTACTCACTCTTAGCAGGCGATCAGAAAACAGAGAGCCCAGATAAGCCCGAATGGCTTTTGAAAGCGACGCCTGTTTCGCAGATTTGTTTCTCCGAACCCGCTTCGAGGTGGACGTGGCCGGCTTCAAGCAAGCTGTGGCCGCCTCCCTCACCGCACCTCGGGCACGGGCGAAGCAGGCAGAGCCCGAGCTTCGAGCATTGGGACAGAAGAATATGAAATGAATTTCCTGTGGAATTTGTATGTGCACATACATATTATAGAGACTTAGACACGTACACACATATTGATACAAGCATGGGTGCATATGTTTCCTATGTAAATACATGACTGTAGATAACATCCATAATATCCAATATACATATCGCGGTGGTTGCCTTCTCCTTTCCAGTTTGTCACCCGAGCTTTCGAAGGGCATCCCCGACGCCGAGTGGTGGCGGGACCCCGCAGCACTGCTGCCGGCGCCGCTTCTGGTGGATGCCACGCCCGGTGCCCCAGGGTCCGAGGTGGGGGCCGAGGCGGGGGCCGAGGCAGGGCGGTTCATAGAAGCGGCTTTCGCCGCAGAAAAATGTATGTTTGTTGTGTCTGTGTCTGTGTGGGTGGGTTGGGTGGCTGGGTGCGTGCGAGCTTGTGTGCGTCCGCGGCTGCGTCCGCGGTTGGGGGTGCGTGCGCGCGTGTTTTTTGTTTGTTTTTTGTTTGTTCGTGGTTTTGTTTTGAGGGCAGTCTTTTCTGGAGGTTGGTTTCAAGGGAAACATGTGGTTCTGCTTCCTGCAGCTTGCTGCCCATTTACCGACATTGAACCGTCCCAAGTTTCGAACGTCTAAGTTCTACATTGTTTGTTTACTGCTGGGAAGATCTGGAAAAAGGTGTCATTTTTATATTAAGTTTCTTGGCTGCTGCGACGATGAGGTGAGTCCGTTTTGAGCACGCCACGGGCAAGTAGCGATGACATTGCGCAAACTATATCGCAATGATACACATGATGTAGCTGTTGCTATTTTCGTAGAAAACTTGCTGCCTGCATCGAATGAACTGCTGTGGGCTTTCATAGTTTCACTCCATTATGCCACTCTCTGAATCAGTTCAACTTCGCAACGAAAAGGCAAATCCCCTTCAGTCGAAGCACTTGAAGGTATCCATGATACTAAGCAGACCATTGAAGTAGCATGCACATACATAGATTGGTCGCCCAATGTAAAGGGAGTTTCTGGTTGAGGGCGTGCTTCCTCTAACTTCAGAATTCAACTTATCCTAAAGCAGGTGGTTGCAACACTAAGTCTCGCCTCTCGCCTTCCGAAGGCCGGAGGTGTTGCTGCGGGCGCACGAGAAGTTCACGCAGCAGGCTGGCCAGGCAGGGAAGCGGCTCCCGGTGTTGGGTCTCAGGTTTCAGTGGTTTCGTGCTTGGGGTTGCAGGGGAGGGGTTCCCAAAAGATGAACCCCTGAAAGGTCGAAAGATGTCGAAAGTTGGTTTGGATTCCTGTGGTGTCCTTTTCTCAATCTTTGGAGCAATGTTGTCAAATTCGAATGGTCCCTTGCGGCCTTCAAGCCACAACTAGATCCTGGAAAACCCATTTTCAGCGGCCAAACCTTGCTCGTTGGCTCCCAACCAACCATTCCTGACAAGGGGAATGGTCTCAAAGTGTGAGATGTCCTCAGGTTTCCTTTCCAACATCAAGCAGGGATGCCGAGTCTGAAACATGCCCACATTCCCAGGAGTGGAAGGATGATTGACATGAAACGCCGTGTTTGGCATACGCAGCATCATGCACATAATTACTCGATCGCCACGTCATTTCCGGAGATGTCGATGCTGATCCAGTTCAGCATCATAGGTGCCATCACCCCCTGCTGGTTTCCGCTATGAATGAATGTATGTAGCCTGCACCTATGCAACCAACGTTTGCTGGTTTCATGTGGTGATGCTAGCTGCGTTTTGGCGAAGACACCGATGGCATACCTTCGAAGATGTTGCTTCATCCGCTGGCTGCTGGCAGTCGCTGCTGAAAAGCAGTGCTCGGAGAGCTGAGCGTCTTTGCCAGCGCATGGTTCTACGACTGGGAAAATGGACACTTTCTTGCTCGAAGCTGAACCGGCTATTATAGGGGGCCTGAATGTGGACCCAAACCCTCGCTTGCTGAGGTACGAGATATTTGAAGCTATTGATTGCAGGCTGCTACGGGCATGTCCGATGTCAGTGCTTGTTCCATCCTTTCTGACGATTGTAAGCTGCAAAGTCGCGCGTTTATGCTCGATTCAAAGAAAGCTTGGCCATCACTCAAGACTCCTTTCTTATCCCTTGGTTCTAGACACAGCTTGGCCATCACTCCCTCGCCAACCGTGATCAAAGGCTTGGCGGAAAATTCGGGAGTCGAGCCAGGCTGAGCAGCCTTTGCTCCGAGAGAGGCCGCTGAATCTTCGGGTCTATGCACCTTGGCGCGCGGGGACCGGCATTCCCGGCCTTTGAAGGCCTGAAGGAGCACTCAAAGGAATGACCCGAAACCAATTTTAGATGCCTGAAGGAGTACTTAAAAGAATCATTTGGCGAGAGACGCAAATTGCAGGTGCCTGGAACCGGCTGTGCGGATAAGGCACACCCACTGTTCCAGTTGATGCACAATGAGTGAGAATGGTTGCATGTGCAAGGTCCAAAGTTGCAGCTGGACAGTTGCAAAAAAAGGCTGCAGATCTCGGCATCATTCAGAGGCAGTCCCCTCAAACTCGCAAACTGATTAGGATCCAATTTGTTGCCTTTGAGTTGGACAGACGGGGTCAATTTTTGGTTCGGGATACCTGACAGTTGATATGTGGCCGGCGGCTGCTTTTAGACAAAGAGCGGTGAAGGTGCCAGGTGCCAATCTACTGAGGCTCTTTTCACCCTGGCCGGACGCTGCCTCAGTGGAGAACAGAGAGTTTGGAAGCAATTCTGCGGGTAGCGAGTCTCACCTCACCTTTGCCTAAGACAGATCATACATGGCCATGCATTGACTTGGCTTTGAGCCAATGTGCGAGGGCAACACGTGCAGAAACAAAGCATACTGTTTGGCGTTCTGGGCGAATTTAGGGCAGCAAGGCCCAAACAGGGGGAGCGGCGAGCACTGAGCCGCAGAGGTGCGCTGGCCTGCACTGTGACTCATGTGGCTCTGGTGCCAATCGACGTGGCAGGGGCGCCCAGAGGTCAACGGCTTCTGCAACTGGTTTTGGGCGCGCCTCAACATACTGTATTGGGACCCAAAGAATGGATGTGGCATCCCTTTAAACGCCAGCCAAAGGGGTTGCCAGAAACACACACGCACAAAAGAAAAAACACACACAAACTCACACACATACATAAACAAACAATCCAAAAACAATCCAACAAACAAACCCAGGAACGAAACCAACCAAACAAACAAGTAAATCCAAACGAAGCCAAACCAAACCAACCACACCAAAACAAAACAAACACAAACATACACAAACACACATACAAACAAAGCAAGCAAACCAAGCAAGCAAGCAAAGAAGCAAAGCAAGCAAGCAAACAAACAAACAAAGCAAGAAAGCAAATTAACAATAACGAAGACAACAGAACAAACGAAGAAATGAACAAACACACAAACAGTCAAACAAGCAAGCAAGCAAGCAAGCAAGCAACCAACAAACAAATACACAAGCAAGCAAGCAAGCAAACAAACAAACAAGCAGAAACAAACAAACAAACAATCAATCAATCAATCAACCAAACAGACAAACACACACACACACACAAGCAATCAATCGGACAAAAGAAAGCGAACAAGCGGAAAAAAAAATGAAAAAAATGAAGAACCGGTTAAACAACAAACAGTCAAACAAGCAAGCAAGCAAGCAAGCAAGCAAGCAAGCAAGCAAGCAAGCAAGCAAGCAAGCAAGCAAGCAACGAACAAACACACAAACAAATACACAAACACCCAAACATACAAAGCAAACACGCAAACAAGCAAAGATAGACAGACAAACAAACAAATAAACAAGCCAGCAAGCCAACAAGCCACCAAACAGACACAAAAACAACCAACCAACCAACCAACCAACCAACCAACCAACCAACCAACCAACCAACCAACCAACCAACAAACAAACAAACAAACAAACAAACAAACAAACAAACAAACAAACAAACAAACAACAGCAAACAAAAGCAAACAAACAAACAATCAAACAATCAATCAAACAACCAAACAATCAAACAAACAAACAAACAAACAAACAAACCAACAAACAAGCAAACAAACAAGCAGACAAGCCAATAAGCCAATAAGCCAACAAGCCACCAAACAAACACACACACAAAAACAATCCACCAACCAACCAACCAACCAACCAACCAACCAACCAACCAACCAACCAACCAACCAACCAACCAACAAACAAAACATGAAACAAACACACAAACAATCAAACAAACAAACAAACACACAAACAATCAAACAAACAAACAAACAAACAAACAAACAAACAAACAAACAAACAAACAAACACTCAAACAATCAAACAAACAACCAAACAATCAAACAAACAAACAAACAAGCAAAGGAAAAATCACAATCAATCAACCACAAAAACACAAACAAACACACAAAAGCAAACACACACACACACACACAGTCACACACATACGCACACACACACACACGCACACACACACACACACAAGGCTTGTGAGAACCACGGTCTTGTCACGGGTCTTATGATGCTTCAGTCTCGAGGTGAAGACGCTGCAGCAGATCGAGCCTCACCGCTTCGGCGGCCTGGGCCTTTTGGCTGCCGCGCAGCTCTTGCAGCAGGACGCGACGCGGTGGGGGTGGGGTGGGGGGGGGTCGAAGCCATTTGGCCGTGGGTCAACACCAATGGCACCATTTTAGGGTAGGTGCACCACCCATTTTAGTCTATTTTAGTGGGGATTGGGATGTTCACTGGGGGTACGGGGCTTTGACCCAAGCCATTTAAACACTCTACCCAGCTGGTATGTAAATGAACTGGGGGTATGGCTTCCCAGGAAACAGCGGTACCATAGCCAGGCAAAGGGCATATTTGGCAAGCGCTAGGATTCTGCGTTTGCAAGACCGTGAAGATAAACTGGTTCGGCAGGAGGAAACATCATGCTCAAGCATGGGAGCGGGAAAGGTTCCAAGAGGAAAGCTGAGTTTCGGGAAGCGCGCTAAACTCGGATCTAGATGCCTGTGCTGTTCGATTTGCTGGTCCGCTATCTTTGGCCGCAGTTCATTCTGCAATACTTTGACACTTGCTACCCAGCTATTCTTTCCATACCGGGATGCTCGCATAAACCGGGGACCTACTTTGCAGATAAGTTGAAAGGGAAACCACAATGAATACACTTCCCCCCCTCAATCTGTTGCCGTTACACACACGCAAAAACACACATGCGCATCCTAAAATCAATACCTGGGATTCGACTCGCTGAGCGCTTTGTGCCAGGAGAACGGCAACTCCGCCGTTTTCCTGGGCTTGGTGCCCACGCTGGCAGGCGGAGAACGGGGTGAGGTTGACTTATTGTCCCTGGACTCGGGCTGAGTATCCAAGATTTGCCCAACAGCCCAGACAGGTTGACATTGCTTGGCTTCTTCTGTGAGTGACCTGGGTATGACTTTTGTATGACCCTTTAGTGGACATCGTTGACTCATTCGCACATGTGAACTGACTGTGTGGGAGGTACTGCCCATGAAGAATGGCCCTTGCAAAAGCATCCTTGAGCCTCGCCGTCCGCGAGGCTACATGTGGTACGGTGCTTGTGTTTTCCCTGGTTATGTGGCTTGGCTGCACGCATCTGCGAGACTGAGCTACTCCAGGGCTTCGCAATGCGACCCCTGGTTGTCGTGGCTGACATTTTTCCCAGCCTTCCCAGATGGCATTGGCAGCATGGCAGGTTTGTCGCCAAATGGAGGAACTCCCAAGATAGGTGGTTGCCCTTTGGTGTCCCTCTGTAACAACCCAAGTCGGGTACCCTCGAAAAGGACACCCATGTCAGGAAGTTCCTTGGCAATCCAATCAATCATTGTAGCCTGGCATGATGTGCATGTTTGAGCAGTGCGGCAGAGATGATTGTATGCAGCAACATCACGGCATCCTAGCAGCTAGCTACAGGTCCCTCAAACCGCCTTGACTAGTCTTGTTGGAGTCTTGGATTGCGCAGGATGGTTGGAGTTTATGTTTGAGAGAGAGAGAGAGGGGGAAACGACGCTGACAGAAAGGTTTCGGAAGGCAACGAAGGCAAGTGGGAGACGTTTGGGCGATGGCCTTGAGGAATTCTTCAAGCGACGGCTCATGGAAGTTTGTGGCCCACGAATGGCTGCCGCTTGGCTTACGGCTGCGAGGAAAATGGGCCGAGCTGCGTTTGCCCTTTCGGAAATGCACAAGCAGCAAGTTCGAGTTCTTTTCGGGGTTCATGGCGCGAGAAGTGACGCTTTGACTTGAGATGATCGCATCCCATCGGAACATGTCGGCCACAAGAAAGATGCTGCTACCGATGTAGAATGAGTGACAAGCTAGCTTGCCGGACCAGGCCCGCAAAAAACAGAGATCCATTTCGCACCAGCTAATAAACCCTGGAGTGATTCGATTCCCCTGTAAAGTACCAACAAACGTTCCGGTTTCAACCATGGTTTCATTTCGCGGTGCGTTGGATGGATTCCGTCCAGCCACAATAAATAGATTAGTCAAGAAACTGGGTTTGGAGTTTTGGACAAAGGGGCAGTGGAAATCCGGATCTCCGAGGTGAAGCTTCGAGTGCCTTTGATTCTGCTCTCGGGCGCCTGCGCAACCTTCTTTGCCTGCATAGGCCAGGATCCTGGTTTGGCCCTTGAGTGTGTGGGGCACTTCAAGTGAACATTTTGAGGGGTCTCAAAATCAGTTCAGGGGGTGGGTTTCCTTTGAAGCGCCATTTAGAGAGTAATTTTGTGGATGTCAGTTTAGTGGACACAGTTGATGTGGAAAGGAAAGCCAAAGAGAATCGAAACCGGTTGGAGCAAAACCACAATGATTGTTTCTTACAGGCAACATCTCAGATCTCAGGGAGTGTTACTTGCTTTGGCGAAGTCCAGCCTCTTCGGCATACGCAGTGCAAGTCACCATCATGCATCCTTGTTGGTGGGAGAGCAGTTGGCCAAGTGTGTTGCTAGCATTCCTTTGGAATGCAGCTCGTGCAGTAGACAAGGTGGTACACACTTCCACAGGTAGTACCTCGCGCCAATTTCAGATAGTTGATGGTTCTGTTGGGTGCCCTTTGCTGATGGCCGGCTAGAAGCTGTGTTTGGGTTCTATTTTAGGGTCCGATTTTTGAGCCACGCCCATTTCACAGGGCGATGGTTTTCATCGCATTTGGCCATGGCAACTGAGCCAGGAGTTTGCCCTGCAGAGGCGCGGCCTGCCTCGTGGGTCTCATGGACTCGGGGTTCAGACCAGGCATTGCTTTTATGGAGATGATGATGGGACCATTGGCACAGGGACATTAGCAACTGGCGGTAAGGCTCCAAGCATTTCAATGCAACAAGTGATGAAAGGGGATGTTATGCCCAAGAGTCTCTCCAATCCTGAAGAGATGTGGACGCGGAGGTTTCTTCCCTGACTCTTCCAAAGTATCTCAAGCATGATCAGTTCAACACGGGTTGTCCTTGAGCCGAGGCCCGCAATTCTGTTCACCTATTGTTTTTTAGATACGGGTGGCGTCCCTGCATTGTTGACCATTCCCATATTTTGAAAGGAATGATCCCAACTGGGGAAGTACATGAACGATGGGCGCTAGAAGTGCCGCGAAGAACCCCGCGCTTAGCATTGGGCACTCCGGCAATCCGGCAGGGGGTTCGAATCCGGACGGTGGCATCACGAGGCTGGGACACAAAGGTTGCCAACCGAGTCGGTGATTCATGCCCTTCAATCGAAGAGCAGACAGTCTTGTAATAGCCCTCCCCCACTCCCATTGTCGGTATAGCCAAAGTGCCAGCGAGCTAGGAACAGCACTTTGAATGTAAAGCTGCGTTGAAGCAATGAGAGGATTGAGTGCACGTTCGAGCATGTTCACAATTCAGCGCAGCTAGTTGGACAGAGGCAAAAATCATCAGGCTTCGCTCTTCTAGGCACACAGTCTGTGACTTTCTGGTTGGCCCAGTGGTCCAGTGACTCTATGGATTTTCATCAACACTTGGGTGTCCTCTTAAGCCAGCGCCATTTAATGCGGTGGCAAAGTATTCTCAGCATGTGCCTGGACTTTGGTTGACCTCAAGCACAAAACGTGTGCGATGCTTCCCCGAACTATAGCTGGCCTCTGTGGGTTGCTCTAGATCCCTGAGCGCAGTGCCTCCCGCGCCGCATAAAAAGGAATGAACTACCCATTTGCCCGCTGGTACCCAGTTGTTCAGTGGCATTCTGTCATATTCTGTCCCTTGTTCCAGGTGTCGCGCTCCAAAATCTGCATGGCACTAGATGTGAGACAGACAGTTGTCGGAGGCTTCCAGTGGGACTTTGTGAGCTCCTTGAGCATGCTCTTCGCGGGCTTCACGCCCGTGTTGCTGCGCCAGGCTGCAGAAGGGGGTTAAACTGGGTTGCCTGAAACTGATCAGTTCCATGTAAAGGGTAACTTTGATGATGTGACTTCAATGAGCCCAAACAGCTCTGGAAGCTACTAAACAGTTGAGCAGCGGTGTTTCATGAAATGAATATGTCAAAACGGAAAAGGGTGCAGTTTGCTTGGGCAATCCTGGCAGAGGGTGTAGGGTCCTGTAGGTTGGCGCCTTCTTGCTTGCTTGCTTGCTTGCTTGCTTGCTTGCTTGCTTGCTTGCTTGCTTGCTTGCTTGCTTGCTTGCTTGCTTGCTTGCTTGCTTGCTTGCTTGCTTGCTTGCTTGCTTGCTTGCTTGCTTGCTTGCTTGCTTGCTTGCTTGCTTGCTTGCTTGCTTGCTTGCTTGCTTGCTTGATCTCGGCCTCGTTGGGTCCACGCCTTTGACCGGCAAGATCCAGCTGTGTGATGGCTCCACATCAGCTGTTGCTTATGCATATTATGACTTGTTTTTCTTCTTTTGATGGCACTCTTTGTGAAGGGTCTTAAAGGGAAACCAAAAGGAAACCGCCTGGTTTAGGGGTCCCCCAAAAACGACACCTAATATGGCGAGCAGGCCGGCCACGACTGTTGAAAACGTCCAAGCAATTTAGAGCAGGAGGCAACTGACGTTAATCGGACAAGATGAGGCACGGGATTTGTGTGACATGGTCACACAGCATTGAAAGCAACCTTTCTGCAAGAGGGAGACTATCTGCTGTTGTTTTCCGGAGTTGTCTTTGCTAGATATTTCGTGCCACAGCGCAAAAGAGAACCAGGGCGAATCACGGAGAGGAGCCCGCGACGACGACCCGCGACGCCGCCCCAAAACAGAGAGAAAAGCATTTACAACAGCCAGGACCCAGACCTGCCAAAATTTGGCCCCATAGGTGTGCTTTTGTCGCACTTGCGCTAAGATAAATAGATGGAATCCATTGGTGAATCACTTTGGTTTTAGTCCTATTGCCTTCTATCGGCCCAGGGGGACACCTACTATGTGTCAGTCTTTCCTACCGAGCCGTTCCCTCTAATCATAAAGGTCCCCCTAATAATAAGCCAGTTTTTTTTTCAAAAACCGAGTGAGGGAGGGGGGGATGCTTTATTGGAATAGCCAAATTTGAAAACAATACTAAACTAGCGGTTTCTCCCCTCTTCCGGTCTTATTGGGGAATCCCCTGTCAGTCAGCAAGACTGGACACCCCAAGCCTGGAACTTGTGTCAAAGAAACAAAACGTGGCGGGGCTTCCTTGTTTTTACTTTAGGAACGGATTATGAGACACCCCCCGTTCCAAGATTTGAAGCGGAAACAAAGGTAAAGAACCTGGGGATTCCCTTACAGGAAACCACAAGGGAGGGTTTATAAGGTTCATTCCCTCATTCCCTGTTGAGCACCAGTAAAATAAAGCTACCGGTTTGGCCCCCTGCAGGTCTTCTTTGGAATGGCCAAGTTCCTCGTCTTCGACACAGTGGCGGCCATGATCTACCGACAGCTGCCGTGGCTGGCGGGGAGGCTGGAAACTGGAGCGCCGTGGTTGGGACGTTTGCCTGAAGGAATGCAGGTGATGGGTCAGGCAGAAAAGGCAGTTAATGCTAGGAATTCCAGGAATTCCCGGATCATGCTGGATCATGCATTCCCGGAGTTTGTTCCTAGAATTCCTGGAATTTCTGGAACTTTTTCAGGAATTCCCGGGGGTTGAACCAAACCAACAGTCTCCTGTATCAGTTCAAACATGGCAGCGCAGTTCGGGGAAGTGGCACTGGGGAAGGCTAGGGATCACGAAATAGGACCCCGAGGGTTTTTAGAACTCAAGGGATAGAGTGTGATAGGCCAGAATAGAAACTCTTCTGGCATCGCTCCTTCCTTCCCAAAATATTCGGCACAAGCATGAGAGATGCAGGACGTTTGGCTCGTCCCTGGTGTCCTTGCTCTCCGGTGCGCTGGCAGGCAGGGTCGCAGAAGACACTGCCCCGAAAGGGATATATTTTTGGCACCAATCAAAAGCTGATCGGCAAGGCTTAGCGTCTTGCGAACCCAGGGAAAATGTGGAGCAACAGGCTGAAGCAGGCTTCTCAAACAGGGCTCCTTAAAAGATACATTTTGCCCATTTGAAACATGGCTTTTTCCACCAGAAATAAACGGAAACCACCATTTACAAGGCAATGTTCGGGTGTATAATGTAAGGATCCCTGTCAAATGCAGATGGATCGCTAGCCATGGGAGTGCTTTGGTACTTGATGGTCAGCTCCAATCTGGTCTGATACAGATATCAGTTGAATCATCGCGTGGCAACTATAGAACGCGAAGCTGAGACTATTTGGTTTGGATAAAAGGGGGCATAGCAGCTGCTTGCTAACGGAGCTTTGTGATCTATTATTTTTCCCAGGCAAAGCCCCAGAGTTCGATCTGACGTAGGCTCACCAAATGCGGCTCTTCCAGTTAAATAACGGCTAGGCTGTCATCAATGTTGGACACGTCTGTGTTGTGTTTTAGGCTCCCGAATGAATGCATGTGGGGGCCTGTGGGGGGGGGGGGGTCGAATGGCTTTCCTTGCTTGATGGCGGCTCTCAGGGGTTGTCTCCACCTTCGTCAGCCAGCCAGCGGACGCCATCCTGACACGCATGGCAGCATTTTCGCATCTAGGCGGGGGATCCACTCCCTACTCCGGACGCCAGGTTGCCGATAAAAGCAAGCCAAATGTTGGGACTCGCCAACCTTGCGCTGCTGGCTTGGAAGCATGACAATCTTGGGCGGCACAAAGCACTGATGTCATGAAGGATCTCGGGACAATCATTTCACAGTGTCAAGGAGCCCCCGGGCTGTGCTCACATCTCTTGCCATTTGCAGGTGTTGCTGGTGCAGCCATGTCGCTCTGGCATGAAGGCGTGGAAGGGATCTCTAAGGCAAAGCACCAGCAATTGGAGGGAGTCAAAGAGTTCTGCTTAAGTTGTTTGCCCCAGAGCAAATGAACCAGTGCCGCATTTTGCTCTTGCGACCCTCTTAAGTATATTTCTTGAGCCGGATCTCCAGTCGCTCTGCACAGGCCGGGTGGCTGCTTTCTTCACCGGTTTCACCACGCGTGCGATTTTCGCCGCGGCGATCATCGGCGGGCCGCGCTGGCTGGTCTATTGATTGACGCGGTCAAGCTTCCGTAGAGGTTTTGCCAGGTTTGAATGGGGGTGTCTGCTCGAATAGCTGTAGAAGAAGCGCAATGGCCAGCGGATGGCTTGCCAGGCAGTTTCTGCTCTACGACGTTGCCAAGCGGCAACTTGGCTGAACAATAATATTGACCACCAGGATATGCTGCGATGGTGCAAGAAGCATAGACAACCGAAGCATGGAATTTGGGCAGTTCGGAAGTCTTTTGGCTCGTGATGCTGGTGATGCTGCTACTGCCGTGCAGAGATGCTGGAGACGCGGGCTGCCCTCAACATTTGTTGGGCCTTGCCTCCGCAGTCTATCACCAAACCACGTGTGAGGTGTTTCCAAATCTCATGCTTTGCCTTTAATTTGGCTCGAATTCGAAGTCATTTAGACAGGCCAACGCTGGCCATACCCAAGCCAGCTGCCTTCAACAACAGCTTTTTCCCTTGTCAACCCCCCAAAATACTTTCCAAAATCCAGTCGTTGAGGGGTGCTTTTGTGATCTCAGGATTTTCAGAGTCACCCACGAAGAGCTCACGCAGCGGGCAGATGTCCTGACCACCTCGCTGCGCACGGAGAAGGTCTTTCAGCCAGCGCTCACGCGCGCAGGCGGAACTAAAGCCTGTGGTCCCCTGGGAAAACTGGTTTGATTTTGACCCAGAACCAATTCAACATCACCTTTTGGGCCATGTTGAGATGAATTTTCCTGTTGGTGGGAGTGATGTTTGAAGGGGGCATGTAAAGAAGCCGGTTTTAGACCATCCTCGCGTGAGAGTTTTGACCTCGGCGGGGTTGTTTAAGAACCCATATACGTGTACCTTTAGTTTAGTATTCGGCGGACCCTGGTGTCCAAGTCCGTTTCACTGCAAAACGAAAGCGCGTCTGCACGTCTACTGACAAGTTGCGATGTTTGCGATTATAGGCACAGAAAACACCACACTCTGTGTGTCGACAAGGAGTTTTAAGAGATGCTAACCCAAGAAAGATCCATCAAAAAGAAGAGGCTTTTATACATCCTCGCCTGATTTTGTGCCTTTCGTGCTGGGGCCCTACCAAAGTCACATGCCAGTTGAGGGCACCATGAATCTTGAGCTTGGCTGAACGGTGTTGGTTTGGATTTATGTCACGATGCATGTGACCAAGCAGCCAAGAGGGCCAGAAGCTCTGCTTGTGGTTGATCTTCCCTCTCAGCCTGCATGCTTCGGAGCACGTGTTCCATGCTGCAGGCTTGGGTCGGAAGACATTCGCCGGGCGCAGGCAGCGAGGGCGAGGGCCGCGAGGGAGCCTCAAAATGTCCATCTAATGAGATCTTGAAGGGAGCAAATGTCAATCCCCAGATTCTCAGGTCAATCCCCAGCGCGTTGCGCGGGTTGGAGACATTGCCGATCTGCCAACGACAGGAGGCCGCTGGCTGGCTACCAGATGGCCCGACTTCGGAGCTCGAGCTCCCGTTCTCCCTGAGGGCAGAGCCCTCGCAGTGGGCGCTGGGTTGGACCCGTCCCTGAGAATCCATTTCGTCATAGCCATTCGCTTCCCATGGATTCGCTGGATCCAACCTGGGGCCTGGTTGAATGTGTCACCTGCCCCGCACCTTCGCCTTCGTGGAAGGTAGTGCCATTCGGGCGAAACAAGCGCCCGCCGCTTGGAAGTTTTCTCACTCTGGGCAGCCAGAGATGCAGGCAGACTCGTGGGTTCAGCAGCCAAGTTGCCCAGGCATTTTCGTGCTTCCCTCAAGAAACAAGTTTTTTGTCCACAATTCCCGTTTGGCAGGTGGAAATCTCGTCGCTGGAAGAGCTTGGGTATCAGCCTGCCCTTGGGAGTCTGCAAGAGCGTCGGAGATGCCATGGATGGTTTGTCAGAGGCGGAGGTATCCAAGGTGGGACCAAGCGGAAAGGGCAGGAACCCGAGTGGCTAGGTTGCACCACCTCGGCTGTTTGTTGTTTTGCAGTTTTGCAGAGCAACTCTGAGGAGTTTGTGATGTAAGGGACGTGAAGTAAGCGATGAATCGAACCAAGTAAGCAGGCAGGCAGTCAGGCAACCAAGCAATAAGCACAGATCAACTGAGTGGCTGCCACAAGTGGAACAACTTTGTCCGGTTCAGTGGATCAGCTCGCAGCCCAGACAAGACCATTTCAAGGCGCTGCATGGACGACGCGCTTTTCGGTGGAGTTTGCGGGGCTTGTCAGCCAGCGCAAATATCCATGGGCAATTCGCCACAAGCATTCAGGGTGCACAGAGGCCTTGGCCTCGCGCCGGCCATTCGTTTGATTGGCCTCAATGCCCTCATTCTCTTATATTGAAAATTTCTCCAAGGTCATATGATCCTGAGTGCATCGTGGTCTGCCCGTCGGAAATCCGGATATTGAGACCCACATACGGTTGATTAAAAGAAGAGCGCCAGGCTGCCACCTAGAAGCGGGAGGCCATGACATAGTTCGGGTCGTCCACAGCATGTTTCAGCACGGGAGCCACAATGAAAACCTGGGTATATGAAGATTAGTAAGGGCTAATCCTGGCCTTGCGTTGTACATTCTTGTACCAATGAACTGGAACAGCTTGACTCCATCCCCTTCAGTCATGTAGCGTTGTCGTCACATGCAGGAATCCCGACCATGTTTGATTGGCTGAAGCCAGGGACCTTGGCATTTGTTTTGCCAGCTTCCCACCCCAGGTCCGATTGCAGCATCGGACCTTCAAGATGCTTTGCACAAAGCGCATGTTACGCTCAGGCTCGAACATCTTCAATCTTACTCAACGATCCCGGTGTTTCTTCGGCCGCTTGACTGGTCCTCGTGCGCTTGGGGTTCAAGCTGGTTCGCGCACGCGAGCAAGCGTCAATAGAGAGCCAGCTCGTACATGCACGGCACCATGCCCAATTTGTAGCAGGTACAGATTCGAGTCCCAAACAGTCTTCGCGTCTCAGAATTCCGCGGCGCGGCAGCTGCACAGGCGCATTTGAAAGTGAACAAATGCGGGAAGGAGTGGATCGAAGCTGTGAAGAGGTGCTTTCGAACCAGTTCGCTGCCTGAGAGGCGGTTGACTTGTGGGGCATGTTTTTGTGTCGAAATGAAGTGTGACGCGAGATCCTGCTCAGGCCACTGCACGACAAAATCGTGTATGCGGCATGGCAGTTGCTTGCGCACCAAGGACAGGGGTGTTCATTTGGGGGTCGTCCGTAACTGCATGTCTAAAACGTCTGGGCAGCGGCAACTTGTTGAACCGCGCCATTGGTAAAACCCGAGCCACGAAAGGCCGGTGATTGGACCGCGAAAGACGGTGCATAGTGTTTAGATCGTGGTGCCGACACACACACGCACACAAGTTCCTCCTGGAATCCTCGATTGGACGAGATCCACCAGTGGGCCCCTGCCCATCCGAGCTACGCCACTTGCTCCTGTTTCCAGGCATGGATGGAGGAAGGCCAGCGCTTGAGAGAAGACGCGAAATCCAAAACAGAAACAGCAGCGACGCCCAATGTTGCTCTGCGATTGGACCCCGAGGGATTGCAATTCGATCGCAATTGGCGCCAGGCAAAGTTCTTTGCGCAACCCCCATTTGACGTTGGCAACCAAATAGCTGGCAACATGCTTCAGCACTATCCAAGTGTTGTTCCTCGATGTACTTCTGCCTGCAGACGAATCACAAGCAGCAAAGTGCTACCATTGAAATCACGTGAGGCAGAGTTGGCAACAAGCCTCGTGAAGAGTCGGGCAGAACTGATGGGCTGGTGGTAACCCGCGGCCCGTTTTAGTTCAAGGCATCCCAAGAGTAAACCAAGCCACTGGACGGGTCACATTGGCAAGTGGTGAGTTGTAGTTTGATGAGACAGCCCCAGGAAGCTGCTACGGGAGGCCGGATGCTCAGAGCTTTAAGATGGATTGGATGGGGCGCAATGACTCCCAGTGCGAGTGTAGTCCATTCAGATTGACGGCAGCGTCTTTGCGGTTTGCACGTGTGCCAGGTGGACGACAAGTCCGAGACGGACTTGGGGAGTGAAACTCTGTGCAAGAAAGACATCCAGAGAACCCCACCTCAGCACAGTCAGGTTGCAGAGTCGCATCGATTCTGGGGGAAGAGAACAGCCGTGTTCTGAAGTACAGGGGTTTAATTTAATTTTTGAACACATCACCAAACTAGGTTTCTCTCGCCATGCTGTATCATTGCGGTTTTTTGTCCTTCCCACCGCACATTGTTCGAATTCCTCCATGGGTGTGGAAGCTGCCTGCCTTTCTGTCCAACTCTGATTGTTCTGTCTCTATTTGTCCCTGGTTGTGTTTGTTTGACTTTCTCTGCTGTCGTCTCTGTGTCTGTCTCTGTCTCTGCCTCTGTCTCGGTCTCTGTGTCTGTCTCTCTCTCTCTATCTTTTTCTCGCTCTCTCTCTCTCTCTCTCTCTTTCTCTCGCGCTCTCTTGCTCCTCTTGCTCTCTTGCTCTCTTACTCTCTTGCTCACTTGCTCTCTCTCTCTCTCTCTCTCTCTCTCTCTCTCTCTCTCTCTCTTTGCGCTCTCTCGCTCTCTCTCGCTTTTTCGCTCTTTCTCGCTCCCTCTCTCTCTCTCTCTCTCGCGCTTTTAGAGGGGGATTGACGGTTGTTAGCGGGGTTTGGCCGGTTTCTATAGGGATTTGACTGGAGTTGGAGGCTTTGAGGATTGGATTGGTTTCTAGAGAGGAACTTGACCGGCTTCTAAAGGGGAAACTTGATCGGTTTGTAGTGTGTGTCAGAGGGGCTTGACTTCAGCGGCTGGAGGCAGCTGCAGCGATGGGATGCAAGCAGAGGGTCTGACTGCGCTGAGATTTGATCGGGCCGGACAGACGAATTTTGGGGCGGGGAAGGGGTTTGGGTTGGGAAGGCCCCAAGAAGGCTCTGAAGGGGTCTGACCGCTTCTCTTTAATATATTTCTTCCTTTCTCGTTTTCCTGCTTCTCTCTTTCGCCTTTCTCTCTTTCTCTCTCTCTCTCTCTATATATATATATATATATTTATCTCTCTCTCTCTCTCCCTGTCTTTGTCTCTGTTTCTGTCTGTCTCTGTTTGTGAGTGATTGTTTCTGTCTGCCTTTCTGGGTTTTACGTTTCTGCTGGGGCTTGTGGATTGCGCGTGTCGGCTTGCTCCGGCTGTGGCGCCGTGGGCGATTTGCGTTGCGCCTTATCATCCCTCCGCGTGGATCGCACGTATCGGATTGAATGTGCGTTGCGCTGGGTCAACAGGATGAACGATGAACCCTTTGCATGGTCGAAAGCTCAAACGTAAAACCCTCCTTTTTCCACTGTGGGACCAATCGCAGCCTAAATGACTAGTTGATGTGACCATGATGTGACCCCCTCGCATCGACCAAAATGCATAGGCAGGGCTTGATTCCCAAGAAGTTGGCGCATTGCCTCCCCACTTCATCCAGAACACTAGACGCCTGACAATGGAATGGGTGAGAACATGCAGGCAAAGATGTGGGAAGATCTTGCACTACAATCTAGCAAAGTGCAAAGGAGCTGTGGTCTGCCATGTGTGAACTGCAGGACAAGACTCCATCCATGGAGTCACGCGACACCAGCCCCGGAAGCAGTAGTACAAAGGCTTGGCGACACGCAGGCATTGAGGCACCAACATGCTATGGTGCATGCTGCCTAAGCTTAAGCCCAAGTGGCATTATGACAGTCAACTATAGAAATCGTTTTGTTTTGGCATGGGTTGGCTCTGGAAGTAAGTTGTGTTCGTCACTTTGAATTCCAGTGGGGAACGCCCAAAAAGTGGTTGATGGACCGTAAATCATCATGCAAATGGATGGCCCAACCAATTCACATTCTTTTGGTTGCCCTCTCCACCAAATCCAAGCAGTTCGACGTCAAAAGTGGTTCTCCTGGCCCCAAATCAGTACCCAGTACCCCTGGAACCAAAAACATGTAAAAATGTGTTGGGCTCACTCTCCGTTAGGTGGACGAAGAGCCGGATTCTGATTCTATCCGCTCGCAGCTCGACACAGACAGGGGGAGATTTTCAAGAAATTGGTATCAAATGCACTCATAGGCCACTTTCCAAAGTAAGGGACGAAGTTGAGCTGGTTTGGGCAAGACTCAGAACTGATTGCTCGCGCACCAACCTCAATCCAAAAAATAGGGAGCCGGAACTCAGGTATCCGTTCCCTGCAGACGTGAAGCTGAAATTCCGGGAATCTTCTATCAACGCAGCTTGGCGATGATGCACCGCAGTGGGAAGCTCTTCGGATCTCCTCGGAGAGTTGCCTAGTTGTGCATAATCGTGCCGATTGCTTTTGCAGACGGACGAAGCGAGAAACTTGCGAATTCGAGATGCGTCTGAGCCCTTGAATTTGGTATGGGTGTGTCGTCTATGTTTGACCGGGATGACATGTTGACTCCAAGGTGATTCGGCATCACTGCCGCCAGCACCCAGCAGGCAGCTGGGGAGTTGACGTGGCCTTCCTTTCGCCCCAATTCTGGACACATGGTTCAAAATCAATCTGCAAGCTCCTGCCAGTGTGGCTTACCTTGTGGTCCGGATTGCGGATTACAGGCTAGGATAGAGATATAAAGATGCCCCCCTCCTTTTTGACCACCCGGAAAGAACTTGTGGTGCTGACGCACAGCTGACTGCAGCACGGCAGCAACTTGAGTGGTTGCGCCACTGAAGCATCGTGTAGTCGCTGAGCTACGGTGTGGCATTTTACAGTAGGCCAATGGCCTGCATTGTTTCGGGTTTCGTCAGTCTCAAAGGCCTAACACAGTGCTGTTGACACTTTATTGTTTAGAGCCTCAAGACTTCATGGGTTCATGTTTTGATCCCTCCGTAGTTTTTCCCTGCCTGGCATCGTGCCAGCATTGCCCCATTAGGCGTGCCTATGGTTTCCGAATTGAAACACTACTTTGCAACAGAACTATGGCTAAGGCAAGCTGGGAGACTGGAGACTGGAGTTTGTCACCATCACGTAGAGCCGCTTTTCTGCGGCATCCTGTGCCAGGCACCAAGGCCATTGTGCTGTTCCTGCCTGGTGTGCACGGCGGAGTGGGCCCGCCGGAAGCCAAGATATGCCGTCAGATGTCACTGGCTGGGACCACAAATCCGCGGTTTTTGCGCTGTCTTTTTACTCCCAGGTGCCGCAAGCCGGGGCGTGACTACGACAAGAACTGCCTCTATGCCATGGTCGCCCGGAGGCGCGCAAGGGAAGCAAACAGCGATGCCAAGTCTGCGGGCACTGGCACGGTAAAACCCGCGCCTTTCGCGGAAGCTGGAAAGTGGCTTCTTTCTGTGGGATTCCTGAACTGGTTTCTGGGGAAATCATTTTAACCCGAGCCAGGCTGCAGCGCAAGGATGCCCCCGTGGACATCTACCGCTGTTCCTGGCCGTACATGTGCCCATGGGATGTGTGGCATTGCAAAGTGTGGAATGCCTGGTACGTTGACCGAAATTCTTTAGAATTCCTCATATCATATATTACACCAAAGGTGGCAAGGACCACCTTGGGGGGGATAGGCATCAAAAAAAAGCTTATTAGGGATCAAAAACAACTTATTAGGAAAGAAGAAAGGAAGTAAAGGAAGGAGAACTGAAACATTTTGAGAGGTTCTCAACATCTATTTCGGGAATCGGCGGATGCACCCTTGGTTGAATCATCACTTCTTCCATCATCATGGTGGTGGCTTCCGCCCCCCAACCCCCCCCGCTGATTTGTAGAATTTGTACAGAGATGAACGCACCCTTTGTTGAATCATCACATGGGGGGGGGGGGGCTGCCGCCCCCAGCCCCCCGCTGGTTTTTAGAATGCTTACAGAGATTAACGCGCTCTTTCTTGAATCATCACATCCTCGATGTGTTTTCTTTCTTTCTTTCTTTCTTTGTTCTTTATTTCTTTATTTCTTTCTTTTTTTCTTTGATTCTTTCTTTTTTCTTTCTTTGTTTTGTTCGTTCGTTCTTTCTCTCTCTCTCTTTCTTTCTTTGTCTCTCTTTGTTTCACCCTTTTTCTGCATGTTTATTTCTCTGTATCTTTCTCTTCATCGCTTGCGACAGTGCTGCACCTGCCACGAAATCTGCACCTGACCTTGCGAAAGCGCTGCACCTTCCGCGAAGTCTGTGCCGTACCTTGCGAAAGTGCTGCGCCTGCCGCGAAATGAAGAAGTTGTTTGTTGCTCCCTGACAAGTTGATTTTTTGATCCTCTGAGTTTTGTATTTTAGTAGGAATCCAAGAGAAGAAGTTTTTTTTGACCCCTAATATTTGTTGATCTTCAGGAATAAGTTTTTGTTTATGCCTAAACAGTTTTTATTGATCCCTCACCCCACCTTGGGTGGAGGTCTTGCGTGCCATGTGCGAAAACATTCGCTCGAGATTGACGTCCTTGAAATCGCCAGGTGCCCTCAGATGAAGAACGCCATTGGCGGCGTCTGCCATGCGCTGCATTGCGCTTTGATCCAGGCACCGTGGTCAGGTGAATTTGGGACCTGCAGTTTCACTCGCCACTTCGGCCATGGCCTTGTAGACAGCTGAGTTTGCGACGTGCCACGGCTACCTGTGCTGTGGCTTTTGTCCAGATCTCCAATACTGTTTTCAATCAGTCCGACCCCTTTGGGGGTGAAATGGAAGCCTATGAGCCACGGTGAATTTGGGAAGCAAGGGGCTGCTGGCGCATTGGTGTTGGATCTTCAGCTTAATTCAGACTGCAAAGGGATCCCTGCTGAAACAACAGAAAGCTTTGGCAGCTTGCAGCCTCGGTTGGTGAGCCTTCTTCAAATGCACGAAAACGTTTTCACGCACATACGCCCACCGCTAGGCAGGAGTTGCGTTCGGGGAACAACAGCGCGACGTCAAGGTCATCCTCGTGGGCCACTCACTAGGCGCGCCCGGTCCATTGTTCACTGTTTCTGCGCACTGTCATTCTTTGACAAGAGCAATGTGTCAAATGAGTCAGACCTCGTTTTGAAGGCAAAGCCCACTATCTGGATGGCTCCAGCCGTACGCGCCAGTGGCTTTGACACATCCTGACATTGAGCTATGCGTGCGCATTGTTGATGCTCCCAATGGCGTTTGGCTGGGTGAAGATGCGCATGCATCCAGCCAACTGGTTCATCCCTGTGCCAGGCGGTGCGGTTGCCCTTCACACTGCTATGTATATGGCTCTGCACTTCGGCATGGATGGCCTTGGAAGCTGGGAGGCCCAGAGGAAAGTGTCAGGCTTCCTCTGAATCTCAATTGGGAGGGGCGGGCGCACCACCAAAAGGACCCCCCTAGATCTTTTTGTTGCCAAGACATGTGCAAAGTTGGTTGCTTGCAGGCTGATCTTTCTCATGAGCCCTCGAGTTGGCCCATGCGCCCATTCGCAACAGGGGCTCCGTTCCAAGACATTTGCTCCCTTGAATCAAAGCTAAAGGAATGAACCATTGACGGTGGCCTTTTGGCGGGTGCGGATTGGGGGTTTGGGATTTGAATCCCTGCTTGTAGAGGGTAAATGGGAAACCCTCAACCACCAAACCAGCAAGCGAGACAACCAAACAACGAGCAATCCACTACGCTTTGAACGCCTAGGTCGGGAAGTGGAAGGTCTGGAGAAAGCTTCTGTGAAGCTGGCAGGCGTCTGGCTGAGATGTCGAACTGGAGGGCTCCGTTTAAGACATTGAAGGCCCCTGTAGATGTTAGAGGCAAATCCCACAGCTGGTGGTTTGCTTTCTTGGTGAAGGTTTCCTCAATCTGACCCTCCCATTGATGTCAGCGATCTTGAGAGCAAGGCTCATGGTCACAAGTGAGACTTTTAGAGCAAATATAGGGTGAAGGCGATGTGTAGTCTCTTCCCACCCCTCCTCAAATAGAACATGTTTAAACCCAACAAGTTCACTGCCGGCCAGCTGTTGGAATTATTTTCTGGACGCCCCCTCTGAACGTGTTCTAAAGCGAGTGGCGAGGACTTTACGCAAACGTCGCACTCGGGAATATGTGTCTAGTCCAAAGGCCGGCCCAGTTGATAGGTGGATAGTTTGGAGTAGCTGGGGGGAGCAATCCCTTCATACCCTATTCACATTGCCAGCTGCTAGACTTTTTAGTTCCCCTGGTGATATGCTGAGTTTCCCCCGTAGCTCTGTAAACAGTTAGGTGATGTGCGGGTCTACATCTTAGTTGAGCTACTTCATCTGGAAGGTTGAACACTTTGCAGAAAGCCGAGAACTGATTCTCGCTCTCAGGGTGTCGCAGGGAAGCGGCAAGCGCAAGTGCGAGAGTGCGCAGCCTTTGGCTCGCAGAGATGGCGAAGAGCAAGATGACAAGACGACCCACTCACCAGACCCCACGATTCACCCGCACTTGCCCCGAATTTTGTTTGCTTCAGGCCGATCAGATAGTGAGTTGCTTGCACCTCGAAGCACAGGTCAGGGGGTTCCTCATGTTTCCAAGCCAGCTGGTTTTGGCCACGGAGCTGAGTTGGGAAGTGAAGGGACCTGATCCCCGGACGGGCTGACTCAACCGGCTGAAGCCGTACCATGGCGAGTTGGCCTACAGAGCTACAGGCGGGGGGCTCCGTGGCGTTGAAACCACAGCGAGAGTGCTACGCCACACTGACATAGCCTAAGTTCATTTGAGGCGCCGATATATGTCCAGCCAAGCTATCAGTCAGCACAAGCAAATCCGTTGAGTTGTGACCTAGCGGTCCTCAACATGCAACGCTGAGTGTTTGTACTGATATTATATCCCGTCAAATTTGTTTGACCAACCCCCACAGAGCATCCGAAAAGGGCCAAGCTGGGCGGTGTCAGGGCTTTGTGACCTACCTGGAGTCAAAACGTGCAGGCGGGCTGAAGAGGAGTGGTTTGGGGACTCTGCGCAGGCTTGCTCAGATGTGCACTGTTTGCAGTTTCCGTTCAGATGGGCGTCAGACGAACAAAGAAGAGGATGCTCAGTAAACTCATCATTATCGACTCCCTCAAAGGCAAACCACATGGATATGTGTGACCTTGTTTGTTTATTCAGATCCTATACCCCACCCATTTGTTGCAAATCAAATCGGTAAGAAGGCGTCTCTTGCTAGCACTTCTTTTCATCCGAAGCCTATGATGTGCGGGGATCAAACCCACCCCTTAAGCACCGGCCCTAAACCTTGAGGCTGGCAAGCATGCACATAGCAAATGCATTCCAACCGGCCAAGGTTCTTGTATTGCATCGTGCAAAAAGGACAAGCAACATTCCAAATTACCAAATCAGTCAGCCCTCCTTTGCATAATTCTTCCTGAGAGGGTGGGAAAAGCACAAATATCGATGAATCAGACACCAATCAATAGAATGGTTCCTGTACAGCAACTCTGGCGTACTGGTGTGAACAAAGGCATGAATGCTTTGCAGAAGTAGGGAGCCTCCAAATTCGCTGGTTTTCGGTGGAAAGCGGGCTCCAGACGTCCACTTTGCTCAGTTTTCCGCGGCCCGGAAAACCGGCGAATTCCAGCCTCACGCTCTCTTTGGGGCCGAGAAGTGCGCAAAAGCGCCCCAGTTCCCGAGAGGACACGGTTCTTGGCAAGTTTGAGTCAATAATGGAACCGGGTGATTCATCAATTGGTTCATGGGGTCGGATATTTTTGGTCTGAGCGCACAGGTGGGCCGAGTACGGATGAGGTGGCCAAGATTGAGGCCTGCGAAAGAGTAGCATGCATGAAAAACGAATTGCATCTACCAGTGAGGCCGACCTGGGTTTGCCTCTCTCAAGTATCAGCTGTGAGCACCGGACATGAGCCATATCTGAAGTGAGGACTGTACATAATGGGTGCATCCTGCATGTTTGCAAGATTGCAAGATGTTAGCACCTGGAATCTGAGAGCGACTAGGACTTACATGGAGCATGCTGAAGCCATAAGGTTTCAATTGTGTGCACGATTGTTCCCGCCGCGTCCAACCACAAAACCCACAAAACTGCGGGGAAATCAGCGGGTGAGGCCTCCCTGGAGCTCCGTCTCAGAGCCCTGGAATCGCAGGCGGGTCCATTTGAATGGGGCCGCAAGATGGAGAGACCCTATTTTGGATGGTTCAAGGGCCAAGGTTTTGAGACACACAAATGTGGGGCTTCTCCACTGATCCCTTGGCAAGTTTATCGGCTTATTTTAGTGTCTGCGGGGTGACTTCCCAAAGCTGGGCCGATGGTCAGAATGAGGCCAAAAGAATTGAGTGGGGGGGATTTTCCAGGGAAGTAATGTTGCGTCTCTTTTGCATGAAGTCTTAGGTGGGCTCACTCAGAGACGACTTCCAAAAGACCGTAGACGAGGCGCAAGAAAGAGCCGCGGGTGTTGGCATCGAATCTGCTTGAGGCGAAGAGATGTGAGGGCAGGGGTCAGTTTTGCCCAAGTGACGGGCTTGATCCTTGAATGTGGTCGACCGGGCGACCGGGACATGAGCGATGGCCAACATCTGTGGGAAGGGGGTGTCATGGCGCACACACCAAGCTACCAGAAGGATATGGGGCTAATTTACTAAAGTACAACAAAATACAATGTCTTCAGTTTGCCCGCCTGGCTTCAAGCATGATACTGCTTTACACTTGTTTCATGGCAATGTACTGGAGAAGGCATATTGTCCGAACTCCTTCGGTGCGGTTGCTCCCGCCTGAGAGGGAACTGATGTTGAGCGCTTGTCATGTTTTTCTTCGTTTTCGGTCGCCTTGAGTTTGCTCTACATGGCGTGGATAAAGGTCGGGGCAAAAGACCGTCATTGGGCACATTTGGATATCAGCCGCTCACATAAATCGCAGACGTCGGCAGGTGGCTAAGTTCCAGAGATCCAGCAATACGGCGGCGGACGCGGTGTCCTCACTGAGGGCCATTGTGCCTGTGTCCTTGCCACGGGATGTGAAGGCGGGCACGGGACGAATGAGACGCCCAAGTTGTCAGCTTCAACCGGATGTGAATTGCATTGTTGCTGTCAATTTGTGTGTCATGGTTTCTCGCTTGTAGTTCACTACTGTTTTTTGATGGTCCACACATATACTTTTAATATCAATCTAGTGAGAGTTGGGATAGGGTGGTATAAGATGTGGACTTTCTAGCTTCGGCCCTTGCTCTACCAGGCAAGCATGGCGCCATTCCCCATGTCCAATCCCGCAGTACAAAAGTTGTCAGCATCATGCTCCATGCCTTGCACCGGTGACTCATCCCACTCGCTTTGCCGCGAGGACCTCAAAGAGGCAGTGAAGAAGCTGGACATGGAGACGGTCGCTCGGGTAGGGTGGGCCATGGACTGCCCAGGGGGGCCTCAGCGTTGCTGGAGATGGCCAGTTTGATGTGGGCCTGTCCTGAAATTGGGAGCCTCCTAGTTCAAACAGGAAGCGTAAAGGGAGCCGACCATTTGCCGTCGGGAAACTGGTCTCAGGTCAAGACGGAAGCACTGCTGACCAGGCGGGGTGTGCAGTGCTGGCTTGACAGTCGGCCTCACGTTGAGCATCCAGCGATTTGCATCTGGCTGCATGTTCAGAAGATTCGACAACAGCGCCAGAATGCACTAGTCACTGAGCAAAGAGCTAGGCAAACAGCATGCCCAGCAGCACGCCCAACAGCCTTCATTGGCAGTTACCGACATCAATCGGCCAGGCTGGAGCAAAGATTCGAAGATGAGGCCTGGTTGAGCGCAGTCGCACTAAAGGTTTGTGCTTGACACTTGCAGGGTGGGTGGGGGCAAGCTGTATGTACCTTCTGGGGTATCACCGGAATGGAATAGCAGTTCACAGAATTGAAGTGGCTTTTGGCTTGCGCCAGGTCTTGGCAAGCCAGAAGGCCGAGGGGTGAACCGTCACAAAAGTGTCACGGGCCTGGGCGACCCGTAAATGTGAAGCACCGCGTTTCGGGGAGCCTGTGCTGGCTGAGCAGCCTGATTCGTCCCAGCGGCTTTTTGGCAAGTGCAAGTCGAGCTGCATGCATTTGAGAGCGAGGGTATACGAAAGGACCCTGTTCACCTTTTTCGGGCGAGCAATATGAGCAAAACGTTTATGGTGGCGATGGGGAAATCGTGGCATGTATATCTGATATCATTGGCCTGAACCAGCAGTTCTTTCTCAGATCAAGTTTGCTAGGCGTTTGGGATGAAACACCTCGCACCCTTGAGCAGGCCTCCTCGCTGGAAGGGAAGCCCGGACCCCTGGGTGGCTTCAAGCAAGTGTTGCTGGTTGGATTGGATGGGGTGTCAAGCTTAGAGGGCGGATCGTCCTGGGGGCTGCGTTTTTCAGATTCCTGGGGGCTGCAGTTTGTTTCCTTTGATTTGACTCGCTCCTTATTTAATTAATTTTAATTATTCTTAGTTTTAGTTAGAATTTAAGTTGAACTTGATACATACACTAAGTAGAATTCATAAGACATATCAGACATATGTTCGAGGTCCCAAAATTGTTAAATACACGTTGTTTGAATGTCTACTGATGTGCAAAGCCGATTCTATTGGAAGCGAATGCTGGTGTAGCATGCATTTTGCGATAGAATCATCATCAATTAGATTATAATTCAAGAAAAACGGTTGAATTATGTCCTTATTAAAGGCCATTTAATGTGAGATGGAAGTTAGGTAGAACTTGATAAGTATATTAAGTGGCTTTCACAAGAAGATAAATTATTGGTCCCAAGCACGTTGAATACATGTTCCTGTGGAACATTTATTTTGAAGTGTAATCATCAATATTCAAATTATACTTTAATATAGAAATTTTGTCCTTGTAAACGTCTGCTTAATTTCCGTCATAATTTTGATAAAGCTATTGATAAAAGTCAAAATGGAAAAAAGAAAAACATATTTCCCAAAATCGTGGGTTTTTTTTTTGCTTACTAGCCCCAGCACTACCATGGTGAGAAAACACTGTAAAACACAGTGTTTTGTAGCGGTTTCCGACCTCAATTCACATCTCCACCAACAGCCGCTCTTTAAAATTCAGTTTGAATTTGAAAAGGATATACGTGGAACTCAATAAAGAAATACTTGATCGGAATCCTACTTCGAATTGCATCTTACATTAGACTCTAGACGGAGATCCTTTCCCAATAGAACTTTGCAATTAAATTAGAGTTTAAACGCAATTTGATAAATAATGAATCCAATCACTGACAAGGAATAGATCCAACCACAACTGAATTAGAATGATACTATGTAAAAATGATAATTCTAACCAACCCCAGGTCTCGAACAAGCAGATGAAGATGATTGTTACTTTTAATAGTTAGTTCTTGGTTTCTCGAACAAGCAGATGAAGATGACGGGCTGTTTTTTAAGTTTTTGTGGTTTTTAGCCTCCCAAACAAAAAACAACAACCCCAGGCAGATGAAGATGATGTTTGCTTGGTTGTTTGCTTCCTCTTTTTTTGTTCTTTTTTCCGGGGGGGGGGGGGTATTTTGTCGGTGTTTGATGCAACAACGCAGCCGCCAGCAATCTGAAAAACGCAGCCCCCATGGCATCCCCTTCTGCAAGCTTATGGGTTGGCCATCCGCAGGAGTCAGCCTCAGAGCAGCTTGAGGTTGGAAGAGCTGCAGGTCCGCATCAGGGCCTGGGCCCTAGAGTATGACTCGCGCAAGGTGGGTTGACACGGGCCAAGTGCCTGGATCTTTGTAGCTTGGAATCTTCAAGAGAGAACAGTTGAGCCAGCTTCGGCGCTTGGTTGCTTGGGATGGCTGCACCCCTGTAGTTCGCATGGTGTCGGATGCCCTTGCAGCTTGGCAGGAGGCTGATTCGCGCGCCAACACGAGAGTGGACATAGGCGCTGAGCTGTGCCAGCGTCATCCAAGGGAGGTATTCAACATGCACATTCCAACATAAGCTTCCCGCGGCATGCCAGATGTGCAGACTCTATGAAGCCAGTCAGGCGGATCGAGGCAGCTCAAGCAGCAGGCCCCGGTGTGTGTGTGTGTGTGTGCTGCTTTGCGAGAGCGATGCTTGAATTTGGTCATAAGTGACATTTTTTCTGGCTGCACTGGCTGCCTGGCTGACTGCTTCCAACTTGTTTGCATGTAAAGTGCAAAGTCAAAATATGGTGTTTCTCCAGATAAAAATGCAACAGGTCATGTTATCTAGCATACCTTGTTTCTTTATGATATGTGTCTCTGGTTAGTTGTTTATGTGTTTCTTTCTTTCTTTCCTTATTTGATTATTTTGTTTGTTTGTTCTTAGTTCTGTCTTTCTGTATTTCTTTATTTTGCGGTTTATTTCTTTATGCCTTTATGTTTGTGTTGCTTTGTTTGTTTGTTCTTTCTTTCTTTCCCAGTTTATCGATATTATATATATATATATATGTAGTGAGTTATATTATGTATACTAATCATGCATGTGTTTGTTTGTATATACGGCTCAAGTAGTCCAGGTGATCGTTAGAAGTTGATGGGGGGCATGCTCAACAGGTGCTCACGAAATCCCCCGGCCGGTCCCTGGACGAAGCGCGAGTCGTCAAAACAAGAGGTGTGTGTTTTTGGCGCACCCTTTGTGCAACGGCTGCTGACTTGCTTACAACAGTGAGTACATATATGTTATGTATACATATATATATATATACATGCTATAATAATACAACATATATATTTGTATGATTATATACATATATATGCACATTTACATACAATGTTTCCATAAGGTACATGGCATTGTTGAACGTGCGATGCCAGGACAGCCTGCTGCAGGTGCAAGACCAATGTAGCCAGCCCAGCGCTCGGTGTAGCAAAGGGCGCATCTTGGGATGTCTCTCGTCCGCGGGAGGCAAAGAGTCAGTTCTCCATCATTCGGCTTGGTGGAGGGGCATCCCTTTGCCCCGAGGCAATCAAAATACATGCCTTTACTGCATCCGCAAGTCCAATGATAGTCGCTCAGTGAGAAAGTGGAACTAATCGAAGCAGATTGTTGTAAAGGGGAAAACCAATTCTAAGCAGTACTTACAGAGACTACTTCAGCAGGCCCAACCCTGACTCCCACTTGTTTCTTGGCTTTCCTTTTGCTCCCCTACGAATCACTACCCAGCATTCCAGGCAGTCATCCAATCTTGCATTCACTACAACAGCCATGTCTACCTGATCTATGAACCCTCCAAATGAAGCAGATTGAACATTTCATGATTTTGTTTTCATTTCTCCTGCTGGTATGTTGCCAATAAGAGCCTGACTTGTCCCAGTGCAACGGTTGGAAGACTCTTGGCCCTTTTGCATTTCACATCTTCCCCTTTGCCACCCGGTATTAGGCACTCTCCGGTCAGTTCGGGCTAAAGTAATCTTTGGAGTCTGGACACGCCAGGCTCAGCACGCGCATGGGGAAGCTGGAGGATCGATCCGGATTCCGCGTGTGAGTCGCGACTGGTTTCGAGCACTTGGCTTCGTGTGTCCGTTTTGCAAAATGGAGGACCCCAAAAATGGACCCTTCCCCTTTGTGTTGCTTTTCAACCCAAAAGGATGCCCTCAACAAAAATGGGCTTGGCTTCCCATTCTGTGTTGGCCCCAGCCAAGTTTTTGTGGAGCAACTTCAACGTGGGTGGTTGTTGTCTCGATTAAAGCAAGTTGCTGCCAAAAAGCAGCAAGTCGCGTGTTTTGGCATGGGTTCCCTAGATCTTCCGTCCATGCAGGAGATGGTAGCGGGCCAAGGCAAGCAGCTTCTGCTGCAGGCAAGCAGCTTTTGCTCGGTGACCTGTGTGATTCAGCAAGACCCCGTATGCAATCTAGTCCACTGCCTCTGCCAACCTCACCGCCATCACTTGGCGAGGCGGAAGACCAGCGAGAGGTGCATCAGCGACTTTTGGAGGCGTGGCTGGTGACATTGACCCCTCCTCGCCCTTTCCTTCAAACTCTGGAGCCTCCAGAGCAACGCAGGTGACCTCCCTTTATAATGCCTGCAAGCTCGTAGGTTGTGCGAAGGAAGCATCAGTTGAGCAGTGTCCAGAGCCTCCGTGTGTTGAAAAAAAGTTGCGTCATGTCGACCTGTGCGAAGCAACGCCTCCACGCATGTAATGTGGCTTTGCTGGTGGCGAGTGACACCTTGCCAAAACGTGTGTTGCTTGAGGTTTGCATAATCGGGGGCGCAAGCAACATGATACGACGTGTCAGATCACGTCACGTTCAAGACATGGCTCAGTTGTGTTTCTTCACTTCAGGCCTTTGAGGAGTGCCGGTTTGCTTTGCCGTTGCATTGTGTGATTGGGCAAGCAAAACAGAGATAGCATAGCAACGCAGCATGTCGTGCAAAGTCGCCAGCAGAACTCTCTGTTCATGTTATATTTGAGTGGTTAAACCGGTGTTCCAGGCATCACGGAACATTGCATCCATGGCATATTGTTTGACACCGGGCGGCAGGTTCGCAAAGAAGCGCTGGAAGGTCTGACGCAGCTGGCCAGTCTGCAGGACAGGTCGAAGTGAGTTGCAAGGACTGTGGCTTGAGTTTGTTTCTTTCGAGAGGAAATGAGCAAAAAGGATGGGCAGTTTTTTTTAATTGAAAACCAATGAGCTTGCGAGAACTGGTCATTTGGATCATTCAATACAAGCTGAGAACTGGTCTGGTCGTTGGATGAGCGTTTAAGCTGGAGGACTCGTTGCCCGAGCCCGAAAGCCTGGACTCCCGCGCGGCTCTGAGGAACCGACCTGGCGGGCGTTTGCTTCGGGTTTGACTCCGCAAAAATCGCTTCGCCGTCTTCGAAGGGTTTGATTCAGCCTAGAAACCTACCTGTGGGATTGGATGGGGTGCGAAGCCTCGCTGCGCAACGTTCGGGGCCGGAATGCAACACATTGCAGTGTTTCTGGAGGAAACGGTGATGTTCTGTTGTTGCTTTGTTGCTTCTTGTCGCTTTTGTATGTTTGTTCTGAATGTACTGACAAGAGACTTCCTAATCAATATGTTCAGGGTGTCGGAGGGCTCAGCTCTATTCAAAGACCCTGTTTTGAATGCCTTGCGTTTCTCTAGCCTCGCCTTTCTCAGTGCCTAGGTCAATCAGCGCGCCTTTGCCTGAGGAAGCCTTGAGCAGCGCCCAACCCCCCCCCCCCCCAATGGGTAGATGGTTCTGCTATTTGGCTTCGCGGGGTTTATAGTATGTGTAAGCCTGATTTTAGGTTCTGCTTATGTTCCCAAATGGATTTGAGAGCAAACACCACAATGGCCTTCCAACTGGGGATGACTATACCTACAATCTGTGGAGGTAGACAGAAAGCACATCAAGTTTGTTGAACGTTGAGTTGCGGCATATTGTAATATGTTTTTGGCCGGCGACCATGAGGACACAGATTTCTTGGGTTTCAATCGCAGATCCGGCAAACGAGCCACCAAAAGGACCAAGTTGCATTGCACATATTTCCAAATTCGAGGGGATTGGGCTTGGGGCCACAATTTGCACTGATGGACCCATATGGACCCTGACAAAGTGTATCGGTTTGGACAGTTTATTGCAAAATGCTGCACCCGCTACCCGCCTCGGCCAGGCTCGAAATAACAACAAGAGCAAGGGCTTGAGCAAATGATGCCGCTTGGGCAGCGCAAAGTGATTGGACTCGAGTGGACTTGGAGCTGCGGCAGGTGGGGGATGGTGAGAGCTGAGGGTTGAAAGCAGCCCGGGTGCTGTGAGGAGCCCAGCCTTGGCCGGCTGCGTGGGCTGAATTGCATTGGGGCTGAGTCTGGCAGGGTGGAGCCAGGCAAAGGATTTGAGTCCCGCGACGTGGGCCCCTCTAGGGCCCAGCAACAATTCATAGGCCACCGCGTTTGGAGACGCCACAATACGCCACACATCGTCGCGCTTCGCGCGTCTGCCGTTTGACTGTGAGCTACGATGTAGTTGGTTTCAGTATGTTGTCGATGAAGACATGTGTGCAGTTGTTCCATGTTGTTCTTCAAGGTGGAGCATTCCAAGCTCTTGATTGCCAACACCCTGAAGTGAACAGATGATACATGTTTGCGTTTCGTCGGCTTCTTGGTTTGCAGCAACACTTGTGCTCACCTCGGCTACTCTTTCCCAGTTGTTCTGCGGGCCTGCGCACCGCCGTGCCTGCTGCGCAGCAGCTTCAGCTGTTCAGCTGGGTACTTCTAAAGGCACGAGGCGGGTGCCCAGAATTGTCAATGTTTGAGTCTTTGAGGCGATGGGCTTCCATACTCCTGGCATGACTCAGCTAGTCTTGCGTCTAGAGTAGCATGTTGACCGCGCCAGAGCACAGTTTGGCAGCGGCGAGAGCGCAATTCGCACCCTGCAAGTCTGTTCAGGTCCTTGCTGGCAAATTCATGCATATTTGCGTCGCCCAGCCGGAGTTGAATCAGACTCCTTTAGCAAGTTGCATCTTTGCAGTGAGGTTCTCCTTCTCCCCGGTCTTCGTCGCAAGTAGCTCCTCCACAGGTGGGGCGAACGTTTTGGGAGGAGTCGGGAGGTTCCTGCCAGTTTGAGCAGAGACAGTGCTATCGAGCCCACATCCCTTGCAATAGGCCCGCCGTACTGAGCCCTCCAGGGTTAGCACGTCTATGGGGCATGCTTTGGGCCGCAAGACTGATGTAGTGCTGTTGCCGGTCTGCTTGTGGCAGCTGTTAGCACGCTGCGCCAGTGAATGATTTGTGCTGGATACTTTGATTGAGGCAGAACAAAGGCCGTGCCGACAGCGAACCCGACATGTGCCTGGGCAATAGCCTAAGGAATGTCAAGACTCCTGATGACACGCAGAGTTGTTTGAGCAGGGTTGCATGTTTGTTTAAACGACAATGCTACTTCAGGAACTCTTCCTCTGAAGGCTACGTTGGGCTCAAGGTATTCATCAGCTTCTAAAGCCAAACACGGGCACCTTTTCCGGTGGCTGGCACCAGAAAAAAAACTTGGCTTGTGCCTGGTCAGGAGCGGCCGAAGTCAGGCGGGGAGAGAAAGCGCTGAAGCCTGACGCGGTTGCCCATTGCCCGGGTTTTGGCTTGTGAATCTGAAGGCTTGCCATCACGCACGTTCGGGATCGCATTTCAGTCATGTTTGAATATATGACCCGGTGTTGTTTCAGCATAACTTGTTTCTTCCCAGGCGCCGCGCGGAAATCCGTCGGGTCACAGCTTCATCCCAGCAAGCTGAAGTGGACAGGCGGGGAGAGTTCGCGTGAGCGCAGTGCGCACGGGGGTTTGATCAGAAGGTCCTTTACATGGGGTGACCATGAAGGAAACCGCCAAAAGTGATGCCGTTCATCACAAAACGGGAAAAGTTACCCACGGTCATTTTGGGGCCGCTCCCATTGCCAGGCCCTGCCCTGACGCGCGCGACCTCGGGGTCCAGCTATCCACGGTATGTAAACCCGTGAAGGGTTGCTTCTGAGAGTGCCAGCCACGAAACGGCAAGCGCAACACCCCGGCAAGTGACATCGCTCATGAAGTGTGACACGCAGACATGCAGTGTTGTCAAGTGATGTTGCTAGTTTCTCGACTGGCCTCTCAGTGTTTCCAAAGAACTGCTGCCAGGCTCAATGCACATTGGAGATCCCATGGTTTTTGCAGCCTCGACGCATCTGACTTTCACACATTGCACTCATGACTGGGTTGCTGTGAGTGCATTACGTATGCGTTGGGGCCCAACATGAATGGATTGTCTACCTTCCAGCAGATTGCTAGCTCTCGCACAAAGTGGACCTGTTTCTTTGTTAAACTTCCAGTGTGCCTTTGCCGAGCTTGGACACTTCTGGAAGCTGAATCCAGCCTCCAAATTTGGGTGCCAACGTCCAACACTGAGCATGCCAGAGAGCGAAGAGGTGAGCGTGCTTTGCACTTGCCTCCGGATCGGCATCTGCTCAATATGACATTCGATTCACGCAGGCCTTTGCACACTGAACGCTGCGGTGAATCTTGAGATGCTCGAGGCGGGGTAGGTCTGGAAGGATGTCAATGGCATGTGAGAAATCGGACGACGCCATTGCAGTGCCAAAGAATGAACCTTACTAGCCTCGCTCTCAGGGAAAGAGGGCCAGGTAATTCTGGTCAAGGATGTCCAAAACCCTCGTACCTTGTGCTCAAAACGTGTTTTGGACACTAGTCGCATGGCTTTCTTCACGGCACCCTTCTTGGAGGTTTTCCTCCATCCTGGGTCCAACCACCCTACACCTAACTGCGCCCAACCGGTTGCAGGAAAGGAAGGATCTACTGGCCCGGATGAGGCTCAAGGCCTTGCTGGTGAGCGGGGACGCTGACGAGGCACAGCCCGCGCATTGTTGAACCACAAGTCATGGACTAAGAATGAGATATTCGGCCTCGGACAGCGCATACGTTTGCATGAGCTTCTGCACAAAACGCGTGTTCGTGCATGCGGGCGCGGGCGTGTCATATGTGTCGCGGCGCGCCGTGCCGTGACGTGCCGTGCCGTATGTCGTGTGGTTTGTGTGTGTGTGTGTGTCTCTGTGTGTGTGTGTCTCTGTGTGTGTGTGTCTCTGTGTGTGTGTGTGTTTCTGTGTGTGTGTCTCCGTGTGTGTCCGTGTGTGTGTGTGTGTTTGTGTGTCTGTGTGTGTGTGTGTGTCTGTGTGTGTGTGTGTCTGTGTGTGTTTCTGTGTGTTTGTGTGTGTGTTTGTGTGTGTGTTTGTGTGTGTGTGTCTGTGTGTGTGTCTGTCTGTGTGTGTGTCTGTGTGTGTGTGTCTGTGTGTGCGTGTGTGTCTGTGTGTGTGTCTGCGTGTGTGTCTGTGTTTGTCTGTGTGTGTGTGTTTGTGTGTGTGTCTGTGCGTGTGTCTGTGTGTCTGTGTGTGTCTGTGTGTGTCTGCGTGTGTCTGTGTGTGTGTGTGTCTGTGTGTGTGTGTGTCTGTGTGTGTGTGTGTCTGTGTGTGTGTGTCTGTGTGCGTCTGTGTGCGTCTGTGTCTGTGTGTGTGTCTGTGTGTGTGTTGCTGTGTGTGTGTGTGTTTGTCTGTGTGTGTGTGTTTGTCTGTGTGTGTGTGTGTCTGTGTGTGTGTGTGTCTGTGTGTGTGTGTGTCTCTCTGTGTGTGTCTCTCTGCGCCTGTGTGTCTGTGTCTCTCTGTGTCTGTGTGTCTGTGTCTCTGTGTCTCTGTGTCTCTGTGTCTGTGTCTCTGTGTGTCTGTCTCTGTGTGTCTGTCTCTGTGTGTATGTCTGTCTCTGTGTCTGTCTCTGTCTCTTTGTGTTTGTCTCTGTGTGTTTGTCTCTGTGTGTCTGTCCCTGTGTGTCTGTCTCTCTGTGTGTCTGTCTCTTTTTGTGTCTGTGTTTCTCTGTGTCTGAGTGCCTCTGTGTCTGTGAGTCTCTGTGTCTGTGTGTCTCTGTCCCTGTGTGTCTCTGTGTGTCTCTGTGTGTCTCTGTGTGTCTCTGTGTGTGTGTCTCTGTGTGTCTCTGTGTGTCTCTGTGTGTCTCTGTGTGTCTCTGTGTGTCTCTGTGTGTCTCTGTGTGTCTCTGTGTGTCTCTGTGTGTCTCTGTGTGTCTCTGTGTGTCTCTGTGTGTCTCTGTGTGTCTCTGTGTGTCTCTGTGTGTCTCTGTGTGTCTCTGTGTGTCTCTGTGTGTCTCTGTGTGTCTCTGTGTGTCTCTGTGTGTCTCTGTGTGTCTTTGTCTCTGTGTGTTTGTGTGTTTGTCTCTGTTGTCTCTGTGTCTTTTTTTGGTTGTCTCTGTGTCTGTGTCTGTGTCTCTGTGTGTCTCTGTGCGTCTCTGTGTCTCTGTGTCTCTCTGTGTCTCTCTCTCGCTCTCTCTCTCTGTGTCTCTTGTGTCTCTCTCTGTGTGTCTCTCTGTGTCTCTCTCTGCGTGTCTCTCTCTGTGTGTATCTTTGTGTCTGTGTGTGTGTCTCTGTGTGTGTATCTGTGTGTGTGTCTCTGTGTGTCTCTGTGGGTGTCTGTGTGTCTGTCTCTGTGTGTGTGTCTGTGTGTGTGTGTGTGTCTCTGTGTGTGTCTCTGTGCGTGTCTCTGTGTGTGTCTCTGTGTCTGTCTCTGTGTGTGTCTCTGTGTGTGTCTCTGTGTGTGTGTGTCTGTGTGTGTGTGTCTCTGTGTGTGTGTGTCTCTGTGTGTGTGTGTCTCTGTGTGTGTGTCTCTGTGCGTGTCTCTGTGTGTGTCTGTGTGTGTGTCTATGTGTGTGTGTGTGTGTGTGTGTGTGTCTGTGTGCATGTCTGTGTGTGTGTCTGTCTGTGTGTGTGTGTCTGTGTCTGTCTGTGTGTGTGTGTGTCTGTGTCTGTCTGTGCGTGTCTGTCTCGCTTACGCCCGTGTGGCTGCGCATGGTCTTTGTATGTGTGTGTGTGCGTGCTTGTGTGTGTGTGCGGTTGTTCTTGTGTACACTGTTTGTGTGTTGGCGTCCGCCTTGCGCCGTTCAAGGGCTGCGCCCGGCACCATGCTGTGCGTCGATGATGCTGGTGATACTCTTGCATGGGGATTTGAATGGCAATCGGCGACCTTATCGAGAGGTGATGTGTGAGTTGACACCTAGATTGGGCTTCGGGCCTCTCCTGTCGTCGGGCCCCTGGGTTTACTGAAATCGGAGATTGGTAGGCGAAGAAAGATCACACTGCAAGGGGTACCAACATGCTATATAGACGGCAACGTCTTGAGTGTCAAAGCGTGCACAAATTGCTGCGCGCTCCCTTGAAGCAAGGCAGTCAAGAGAATGGCGCCACAGCTCCCAGCACGAGTGGATCATCCTGCTGCAAAAGCTAGGTAAGCTCACACAAACGCAAGCAGCGTGCCGCACAACCATGGCCAACTCCACCCCGTCAAGGAAAATTGGCCGAGGCCTTGCGAAGGGCAGAGAACCAGCAGCGCAGAGGAAAGGCTCAAGCCTAGGCACACCAACCACTGCCAGACTCGCACCGTGAGGCCTCCGGCTTCCAAGTACCGAAATAGAGTTGCTTTGGGCGCAGAGTGTAGCATGCGCGAATTACTACACACCGCCCATTCACGGGCGTCCACTGGGGAATCAGGAACATGACATCACGCTTGCCCGCAAGTGCGATCCCCAAACTGCACTGTAGTGCATTCGGCAAACAAATTGCAAGCGGATTTGCTGGCTTTGCGTTTCACTTGGCCGCCTCCACCCCCGGCAAGATCAGACTCGCCCCCTGGCATGTTTTGCATCCGTTTGTAGCCGGCGAACTTGCGCTGCCAAACTCGTGAAGTGAACAGCTTGTGCTGGCCAGGTGGTTTGGCCTGCTGCAACAGTGGCACTCAGCAAGGCGGGAATGCTACAGGGTAAAACCCCCAAGTTGCGAGAAGTTGGACTGATGGATGATTACTTTGCCTGGAACGTTCCCCTGCAATCTTCAAATGTACGCAAAAGGAAACGCATTGACAAGTTGGTGCAGGTGTGCAATTGTGTGTACGCATGTGCTTGGCACGCGCGCGCTTACAGCAAAATCACACTTACAGATTGATCGAATGCAAGACGGTTCGATCTGCCCATTGCTTCACTAATTTTTAGCTATCTTTCAAGCTTTCCGAGTCCTTCATTGAAACGCCTCAAGGCAAACACTGAGGGGTATGCGCTGGGTTAACTGAACTACACGCTAAGCGGCTACATACCATAATATGACAAGCTGCAAGCTAAAGCTGTCACCTGAAGCCAGATTGATTGTTCTCTCCGAGAGCAGCAAACAACCCTCCGTGACAGAAGGATGTTTCGCAGAGCTTCACGCTACAGGATTTAGCGAGAGCCAAAGTGCACGCTGTGCTCTTTTTTCGTGCTGAAAAGGCCAGAGCTAAGCGCTTTGCGTAATACTTTCGTGCGGAAAAGCTGCTTTCGAGCCGGAGCTGCCGAAGCGCACTTCGCATGGTACTGTCGTGCTTCAACAACTGCCATTCACGCAGGAAGCCGACGTGACGGTTGGCGCGAAAGCTGTACAACCGCAATTCTAGGGACCTGCCAAAAGCGAAGCTTTTCGTTTGCTGAAGCTGCTCCAGAACCGCGATATGTCCATTTAGGTATTGTCGGCCGCTCGTCTGATTTTGGTTTCATGCAGCTTCCACGATCAAGCCCAATTGCCACTCCCTTGAGAAGTGCTTTCTCTAAATGTGTAGCTCTAATGACTGGCTGCCGGCTGAATTCTGCTGCGTAAACTCAAGCATATCCTAAGCTTGCAGGTACATTATAAGAATGGTGAGCTGCCCGCCTGGTATCATGTTTGGCTCGAAAACGCCAGGAAAATAGCAGGGCTGTTCCATACTTGACCTAATAGTTCATCCCCAGCTCTTACACCGAATACGCATGAGATGTCTGACTCGTGACGCAGTTCATGAGCTTCTCACCTGACGGAGCGGTCGCATGATTATTTCTTGTCTCGCATGATTTACTGATGGCGGAGCGCGGGAACGAAAGAGAATTCCAACACATGTCGCCTAGTAGGTGTCAGGCGCAAGGAACATAGGTGTTCATGCGAATCTCCCGGCCA